TTCATCCTTTGTGGCGTCCGAGCGGCCCACAGTTGTCGCGGGAATGCTTTCCATGTATTCCGGGAAGATTAATGAAACCTACATACGTATTACTGTAGGAAGAGGGCAGTGAAGGCTTCGCGCTACTCTGAATCTCGGAGGGTGGCCGGAATATCACCATCGCAAGGTCTCGCGTACTCGTAGAGCCTGACCAAACAACCTTATTGCCTTACTTATCGTTGGTGTAGTACAGGCAACCATTCTTCCGCCATGATGCTTGCTTGGCAGTCGAGGACAGAGATGGAATACTAGATTCCACCGTCCATTTAAAGCCCATGGTCTCGATATGGCAATCTCCCATACTCCACTTGGTCTTACAATATGAGTCCACCACCCAGCGCCATACACAGCATGAAGCTCCGACCATTCTGCTTTTCTTTCTCATTTGTTTATTTCAGCTATCCTAGACACGCTCAATGAAGCCACGAAAAGCCGCTAAATGATCTCATTTCTAGAGATTTAAGCTAGTAATGAGTAATTAAAATTATGAAATATTGCCTTTGATAGTAGAAACTAGCTATTACTCTATAAATGATCGATATATTAGTATTTATAGTTTCAGCAAGTTAAAATTAATAGAGTAAGGAAAACATAGTGTATATATACTCATACTAGGAGGTTCTTGATTGAAGACTATTATGCATTAGTGACTTCAGGAACAGTCCTATCTCATTGCTCTAGTATTTCACCTTTCATGTCCTATCTGATCGCGCGGCCTCAATCCGGGCATACGCCTCGTCAGCTTTCACCACATCGGCATTTCTTCCGTGGGGTGAGCCCAAGCAAAAGGAGCGCAGGGATTCTCCATATAACCTTGCCAAGGTTTTTCATTCAAATGTAGATCAAGTCAATCTCTGGTCAGTACTCAGACTCAGTAGCACAAGGGAACGTTAGACAACAAAAAGATTCAGAGGGTCTCAGAGTAAGTCAGGAAGCTTGTTGGACAGGTTCTGGACCGAAAATATGGCTATGAGAGAAAGGCCGTGCTATGCATCGCTAATAAGATGAATTGAAGGGTTAAGCTGAAGTCAATGGTTGACAGAAGGACTTTCTGACTTACCAAAGTGAGACCTGTGGGCCTATTAGTGTTAAATTAGTGACTACATAGTACAAAGCTAGTCCGGTATAAATATCTCCGCAAACCTACACTCTCTAATATTAATGAGATGAAATAATGAAAAATGGATGATCGATGATCGTGATTGACGGGCTAGCGACAGATCCAAATGATCTCACAATACTCATTCGTTACGGACTTTTTTTTCTTTCTTCTTTTTGCTTATTGTTGTAATGATCTAATTACGCAATTTCTTATCAAGGCTACGTTCACTGCAAGCATTCGGCCAATCAAGGAAGACAATTGCCCTTACCAGATATGGCCAAGTATCGCTACAATTCATTGGTTTACATTAGGAATCGTTATCACCGAGTGCGGAGCGTACGGCCTTCCTGATCGAGATATCGAGTCGAGTTGAGTCCCTCGTAACCAGATGACCATGTACGATACTGTAAACACTAGTTTTTAGCCATAAACAGAATTCAGGACCAGAAACAAACTTCCCTCCTTTTTGTCACACATGACGCGTGTCCTTGCGCCGTCACATTGCTTTTGACGCATGTGGACGCAGGCCAGTAGGTACGGAAATTCTTGATTCGTCGCGTGTATTCCTTCTAGAAGCCTGTTGCACGATTCACGATTCCAAATCTGCGGGTGCCCCAAAACCGAGACGGTAATAGTACATAGATACGATACCACCTGCATTACGGATACTAGTCCAATACACGAACTCTCAGATCTCGCTATACCCTATCGCACTAGTAGCGGGACAGCTACCACGGCACTTTGGAGTGGAGCGTGTTCTCCGTACTACGTATGATTTGAAACAGGCATCCTCGAAACTCTACTTGCTGTTGGACGTTGTCTATTAAGCTTCGGCTTGAATCAACTGAGCCCTTATCAACAGCCAGACATCTGAGTGGGGAGCTTGTCAGATGCATACACAGTAGAGTGGGAAGCTAAATGTAGGTCCAAATGGAGAACAACGTAGATCGCATCATGCGTACGATGTTTTCGTACTTACAATGTGGTATTTATTACAATGTTAGTATTCATCACAATGTTGGTAAGTATTACTAACACGATTCTTGTTGTGGTTTAAAAAATAAAAAAGGTGGCGAGTGATGACTGTTAGGACGCCCATGATAAACAATGATTCAAGCTTGAACTGTTTGCCCCCGTCGGCTCAGATACAAGGGGGAATGACGCGCGGAAATCCAGAGACGGAATAAATGGTGTTGAGTAATGGCGGCGGAAGCCTCGAAAGGATATCGAGCGATTGATACATAACAGTACATACCAAAGTTACAGAAGCCGGAGGTTCGGGGGCGGAGGCAACCGGACATACGAATACATGTCCTGGGTATTAATTCTTTTCATGGTCCGGTTGAGGTCTATACTGAGCTCACAAGCCATCGAACGAATATTCTTTCGTATGTTAACTAGAAAGTACAAGTACAGCGACCAATAGATACCTCCCAAACAGTTAATTTACTTCGTTTTGCGAAGTCTTATGACTAGGATAATGTGCCAATTCATATAAACATTTTATCCGTACAACCAAACACGGAGCCCCAATAAAGGGAGCATTCATCTGTGACTGTCACTACGTCCAGCCTCCCAACCTAATAGTGTGGGCCATGCCCCACACTGTACAACAGCCAAGTTTCACATTCATCTCGATTCAGGTTCGAGTTGGTTGCACTCACTTGCCTCTATTACCGGTTACAAAGCTCTCCGGCTTCGATGGCGTATGGGCACAACTCTGACTTGGCTAGACCCCGGTGATCTTGTTCGGCATTCAGACACTAGCACTTACGAGCTTGTCTCGACAGCCACAAACCATTCACCCGAATTGGAAGCCGATATTTATGGTTCCAATCCAGAACTAGAGCGTATCAAAACCATTGAGTATTTGAATCGACTAGCCAAGTACATAGCTAGACTTTGCACGAAATATTTAGCAGTCAACACCGGTGAAGTCCCGCTTCACCAAAGATTGCTGTAATGGAATAGGTATTAAAGGAAGTGACAACAGCGGACTTGGAGCACGAGGCCTGTTGTAGCAGGGAGAAAAGACAAATTGGACCTGGTGGATCACGATGTCGATAGACTTGATAGTCGATACGAGTTGCGTGGATTATTAAGCCCCGCCAATCGTGTACAGTGACATATTGGAAGCTCGGAAACTTCTAACTAAAGCGTGCTGCCGAGAAAGCATGGCGCACGCTAGGCAACAATGAGTAAGCTTGTGGATCTGGGGATTTATCGCCACTGGCCGGTGCCATTCCTCTTTGGTCTCGGGAAATTTTACAACTCCGTACTCAGGTACAGTAAATCTGGGTCGATATCATTGTATAACAATTAAATTCCGTACTTATCTCCGACTCGATACTCTAACGGGTCTACTTCTATTTGTCCTCACTTATCATCCTTTTGTCACATGAGCAATTGTCGAAGCTTACTTTTTAGCTTAGTCGGTATTAGATGGCTGTATCAGGAATGTTGGTCATCGTGATGTAGAGAGAGAAACAAGTACGATTATGTTATTGCGTTGTTGTGGCTCCTAAGTGTAGCCAAATACATTGTGGAAGTGGCGTGTTACTGCAAGGAATCACCGTGGGCGTATTTCCAATCCCTCAACATATCTAAATAAATACGGTACGTAGGTGCTTGAAACTCAATTGAGCCTTCAGGATGGAAGTACAGAATCGTATCCAGGACAGATTACGCTTCGCCTTCGCTAAACGGAGCCAACTCCACACCATTGCACCACTAAGCAGCGTTCACCCTAATTCTGATGAACTTTAACTTTGGCTAGATTACTTTGATGGCGCCACTAGCGGTCAAATGACAAGTATGCACGCACTAATTTAGTTTTGTTGGATCCGTGATCTACACTAGCGGTCCGCGGACATTTTTGTCAATACGAATATACCGCTCATGTTCAACAGCTGTGTCCGTCAATGATCTGGCTGCAGTCCAGTTAACTAGTACCAAGTACTTGGTAGACTGGTCGAGGAGTGAACTTCCAGGGCAGACTGAAGTATGGGTGTCGAGGAACTCGTGACAGAAGTTGAAACTAAGATATGGGACGGCTTCCACCACAAAACAGGGCGGTACGTACTTGTAAGCAATTAGGACTTGAGTGGTTTTTTTTTTACATTTCTGTACAGAAGATCTTGGGAATGTTTTTATTTATTGTATGTTTTGTATTGGGTCGTACGCATGCAGCGGTCACTGGTTCAGGGAGGCTCTGCTCAGTGTCTCCACAAAATTACGTATCACCGGAATAATGCTTTGTGCTCCGTACGCAAGCTGTATTGATACGACGTCACCATCTGGTATGGTATCCAAACGCCTCCTTCCCGTAGGAAGGCACCTTGGGCCGCTGGTTCCTGGCGCTCGGCCGAATCAGACATGCTTTCTTTCTTTTCACCAACAATTTCTGGCAACAAGGCCATTCGTTTAGCTACAGTGGACATCGAGATCTACCTAACAATGGTTAGTGGCTGCAATGGTGACAAGGGGATTGTGACTGAGTCAAATACAGATATTACGAATCACTAAAATACGGTATTAAACGATAAACCTTAATCGCCTCGAAACAGTACCGCTCCATGAATGTGCCACTTTGTCGCTACACTGTTGCTTTAACGAAATAACTCTATGGTCATATCATATTTCAGCACATACTATAAAAACCAACATTTTCCCGCCGTCGGTTCAAATGTGATTGCCATTGCAAAAGAGCAGTGGCCTGATTTTTCTCTTTCTTCTTCTTACTACATCCATTTTCAACAGCATTGAAACAATATCTGATCCTTTCTATCGATAGAGCCACTCTAGTTGCCTTCAACTCTCAACACTTATCAATTCGAAACCACGTTAAAAAGTCACCGTCATGGAAGCCAAATGCCCCCATTCATCCACTCATTTGCCTGAAGACCTTACGCAAGAAGACCTCTCCCAAGAGATCAGCAACTCCCATCAATCCCCGTCACAAAGCTCTGCCGCACCTTCCAGCACCGGGAACGGGGGTTCAGCGCAAAGTATGACCGCCACTACAGCAAGTCTTGATCCAATTGTTTACCAAGCTGCCTTGGACTATCAGTCAGTGACTTCTTTTCTTCTCTCTTCATTTCTCCCCCCCTGCCTCTATTCCCACCATCAAGACTCAGTTCCGCAACGTCATCTAATGATTTCCCAATTAGGTATAATCGAGTTCCCTTCCCAGATCACCAACAGGATCTCAGCCAGATGGGCTCTTGGGATACACCGATCGAACCGTTCGTCCATACCCTCGTTATCGGAAACGATTTTATACTTTCTCCAAACTATCCATCCGGTACCGCCGTCAACGCTACGGATGGATTTCTCGGGTCTGTGGCGGAGGTCGGAGATACCAAGGAGGAGGCCGTGGAGCTTCTGAGGGCAAACTTACGCCGCAAGCTGTAACAGCAGAATTTACTTAGGACGCTGCTAAGCATTGTATGGCGCAAAGACTGAAGAAATTGGTTATGGATAAGGGTTGGCGGCGCGATACACGGGGAACTACTAAAGTAATACCTACAATAATGCTATCTAATTGGGTTTGTCTCGTTACAACAGATTCATTTGAAATGTAGATTGTTTTGTGGTATACACAAACTAAAATAATCTCCAGCCTGTGTTCCAATGACATGGGCACCAACACAGCCCTAACCCATTCCTAGCTGGTACGTATTACAATTTAAAAGTTTTCTGATTGGGCCATCATATTCCAGACCAGATCCACCATTTCACTCTTCCAAATGCGTACTTAACAATAACACTTATTCCGCCCTCACCAAAACGCACAATCCGAGCAACGACTCTCTAACCACTAACACAACAGCAGACACCTTTTTAGCTCTACTATTTGAATTCGCTTTCTATCGTCCACTCAAACTTGACTACACTAGAGTCAAAGTTGGTAAAAACTTCGCGACGGCGCTAACCAGACTCCCCAGTACTCCGGGGTCTGTAATTCGTTCGACCAAAAATAACTTTGCGAACTTTCGTGTTGATTGCCAGTGTAGAGAAGACGTAGTCCATATGGCCTAGCAATCAATAATCCATAACTACATTCCTAATCATGATCAAAGAAACCAACGCTATCAATGGTCCACGACCCTTTTTCTCGGGCTTTGTTCCATCGTGGATCCGTCGTGGGTCTTCCCGAAACCCTAATTCATGAGCTTCCGACCAGGACGTCTGAAAAGCTAAGGCTTAATACTTCGTTCAGCTTCATGGTATCCTTCGTTAGAGGCTGCTTGGTGCTTGGTGACTTTGAACGTCTGTGATTTCCGCTTATAAAATATAAATTGGTTCATCAACGTTGACTCAATTGATTTTCGATTGATCAAGATGTGGAAGAAAATTAGCTGGGATTTTTGAGACACGCCGTTAGGTGCAAGATCGCTTCTGTTAGCGAAAAAGATACGTCAGTACATATCTCCGTGTAAACTGATAGGGAAAGATTCTTACTCGTTGCCGGAGCCGAGCACCAACGAATGACCTAAAATGTGACGAAGGTCTAATACAAGACGAGGCAGAACATTGTATCCGTTCACCCTGTTACCATTCGTCTTCTTTACAGCTCACAGTCACTCGACAAATCGGAATTTGAGAGTTCTTTACTGTGACATACTGGGTCATGAGTGCATGGATAAGCTCCAAAAATAAATCAGTTGATATTCTGTTCAGATAATATAAAATTAAATATGTCAAAGGCAATGGACACCACTAAAAGTTGAAAGAGTATGTCATAATTAATCATGCTGATTCGACAGACTGTACTGATCGGATAGGCGAGCTATGACAGTGGATGAAGAAACGGGCGTGGATCATGGCTGATACGGCTCACAGGATGAATAAAATATGCCCTATCAGTTACTCAACTCGAAACGAAAGAGTAGCCGGTCAGATTTAACTTTGAAAAGAGCGCTAATAAACCTAAAGCGCGGCTTTGGCGAAATGACCCTTCGGCTTTTTCGGAATATAGGCAGTCATTCCGAGCTGTCGTGAATACAGACTATACTACGCACTAGGTGAACTACGTGGTCGCGCTTGGTTTCTACCTCAAAGTTTTGGATTTCGGATGATCCTTACCTTTACACTTCTTTGCCTCTTTTGGGTTCGGTGCCAGCAATACCACCAAGAGTAACCCATCTGCCATAATCTTCCCTAATAAGTTAAGAACAATGCCAAAAAAAAAAAGTCCCGCTGATGTACTGCAGGAAAGTCGTTGTGCTGCTTCATATCACAAATTCCGGAAATTTTATTACAGAATTTCTTCTACCATAAATTTGTAGTATAACCAAGTAGCGCTGATTGAAAACGAAATAGGTCCCGATGAGGGAGAAAACGGCATGTGGTTTCACCCAACTGCGTTGCTCCAAATCCACTACACAGAAGTGCTATGTGCGCTGATGCTCAGCATCCTACAGAGTCAACATGTATACGGCTTTGCCTTACAATCACGGCCGTCGTTATGTACGTAACCCTTCATCGCCAAAATTACGCGTGATCACCTGAAGCCAATTATGCCTCTTCTGGCCAGTCATAGCTGGCCAGGTGGTGCCAGATGACTCATTATAGTCAATTTAATGGATCTATATCATGAAGGATGGTGATTTAACCTCTGACTAGTGGTTCACTGGTTGTAGTACATATCAGTACGTGACACTGCAGCACCACATTAATTGCCGGCGGCGTCCGGGTTGCCTAGTTCAACCCTCGAGAAACGGATCCACTTGATAGAAGCGTTTCTTTGCTTCATTCATCAAACATGACCTTAGTCTCTCCGCAACTAATTGAAAGCCTTCTCGCCGATATCGCTAGCCCCAAAGGGGTCATCTGTCCACCGCTGTTTGGGTCGTGATTTAACGGTGCATCGATTGCAATGCCACATAGCCGCCAAATAGATCTTTCCATTGGATGAGAGCGCCAAGAACCAAACACCGTCGCTAGTGGGTGCGAGAATCTGGTAGGGACGGAATACTTAGCGGTTGCCTTGCATCGTGCGAACCATTCTATCGTCAGACTTCAAGCTGGAGGCTTGGGTACCGGAGCCAAGGGTTACACTAAGGGGCCTTTGGCATTTTTAGGCCAACGGGATCACGCGGAGAAAAGAAGAAACTAATTCTGATAGGCCACCTACCACGCTCTTCAATCGATTCTACGGCCACGGTTGGAGCACCAGATAAAAGTATAGACGGACGGTTTTCAGTCATCGATCACTTCATGGAAACTAGTAGTGCGTTTGAAACAGAACACCAAAAGCTCATGGTATAAGAAGCCGGGCTTCCCCATCATCAGGAATGGACCTCTGCAGATTCACAGTGACTCGACGTTCTCTTTTATATCCTCCATCTACATATTCATCACCTTATTAGGGTTACATGTCCTCACATCAACAGCCTACAGACAGAAGAGGTATCCTTAGTGCTTAAATCTTGTCGTTGCCTACCGCATCTACACTTGAAGACTGCACATCAATTTCAGTCGCCATCATGGAAGCTAGACATTCCTTTTCACCTACCGCGATACCTAATGGCCAAGAGCGACAAAGCTCTGTGCAGCAGGAACCTGGACTCTCCCATCAACCCCCTTCCCAAAGCTCCCAGACCTATACACAGGCACCCTCTGGTACTGGACATGGGGCCTCCGGGCAGAGCGTAACTACCCATTCGGAACTCGTTGAGATTAACGACTCTCAGCCTGACTTTGCCCATGAGTTAGTAACTGCTCTATTTCTTTTTTTTAGGGGTGATATGGTGGCTCTTGTAAGCTCCAGTTTCCGACGTCATTTGACCTTTACCCACCCAATCAGGCATAGGCGAGCCGTAACCCCGGATCAGCACGATTCGAGCCACGCGGGTTCGTGGGCAACTGTCGCCCCACAGGCTGACCCCTCCCTCATCGAGAACGAGCCTATCCTCTCCCCAATCCACCGAGCTGGTGCCGCCATCAACGTCGCAAACCAGAAGAACGCCGGAAATGACAACACTGAGGCTGTGGGGATTTTCAAGGCCAGTCTACATCGCGAGGGGGCGAAAGAACAATCAGCACTTACCTGATATGCTATCAAGCATTCTTTGGGCGCCACGAATGGTCTCAATAACCGGTTAAAAGTAATGGATCATAATGATTGAATTGGCGCTATGGACAATATAAAGGGGAGACTACAGAAAACAAGACTTACATACAATTTTGCTCATTGATTCTGCTAAAATACACGATTTCGGTTATTTATTTATACAACCAACTCATTCGATATATACCTTTATTGTGGTATACATACGGCAATCTCCTCATCCAACACAGCACCAGGCAGCTGTTGAGTCTACGTACTTCATAAACTCGATTTTCATTGCATGGTATCGGGATCCACATCGATACAATGGAGTCAAAAGTGGGTGAGGCCTTCCCGGCGGAAGCTCCCGCTGGATAACCATGGATCGCGAGAGCCACTAGATTTAAGCTAAAACTTTAACTGTTAATTATTGGCTAGTGGTAAGAAACTCTAGACGACAAATACAAGATAAGGTGAAATAAATACCATTTTGGGAATAGAGCTTAGAATGATCATAACGAATCGTTTATTCCTGGAATAGCATTTCTTTTGGCGACGATCATGAACCTAGTTGTAGAAAAGGGTACTAAGTCACTGTACTGAACTTGTAACTGGACATAGTGGCTCTCCACCTTGATTATCACGTACATACGTAGCATCATACGCCGCCGTAGAAGAAGATGAGCATGAAATGAGACAATTTCTCCTATTCGGTTTCCATCATAGGACTTTAGTCATGACGCACCATCTACAGAGGTGGGAGCTGATCAATATCGCTATCTCAGAAATGAAACGTACACTCTGTTATGCATGTGCCATTCAAATAAAATTCTCGTATTTTGTTGCATTTCTAAATCCGATTCTCCATTTTAGATAATTTTCTCCGTATCGTTATATTCCACTCTTAACTATAGAGATCACGGAGCGGATTCAGTATGCGCTACTCGATCTCCTTCCAACCTCTGGCTATGTACTATCAACTAGGCTTATGTGTTGTCAAAAGCAACTAACATCGGTCAAGATTTCTGAGTATTGTTTTTAAGTCCAGAGCAAAAATAAATTAATCATCACCTACAGGACCCGAGGCCCTGTTGTTGTCATTGGAGGTGCTTAAGGGAAAAAACAAACGGACTTCATCGGGGAAATCGTGGGATAAAACTAGTGCAAGGGGGAGATATCATGAGAGTACGTAAGCATGTACTTTGAACATAATTAACAAATCGGATGCGGGAATTTAATGAAGAATTTGGCTTAGATTTGACTTACCCGTAGTAATATAAAAATTATCTTTTGGTGGAATTATTTCCGTTACTTATGTTTCCGCCCTTTCCGGAGAGAAAGTGCGGAAAAAGGCGGACCACAGAAGAGTCCATGTCGTGCTTGGTCAAATCACTCTTATGCACATAATCCAGAGCAATCGACGGACAACGTAGATGTCACAGCCTGTACATCCGATCCACAACGTAAACGAACAATACGAGTGCCACAGCGTATCCACCCATTTAGGAACCAACGAATTATCGCACATCTATCCCTAGAAACTCGAATTTCCAATTTTCGGATGAGCCATACCTCACTAAAAACAAAAAGAATCAGTCTTGCAGTGAGCGATTAACATATGCGACGAAGAACGTCCGGGACTAGGGATGTTGAAAAACATGTCATTATTTACTACCACCAATATTGTACCTAAAAAAAGGAACCATCTGGGATCAACCTAATTTAAAAAAACAGTAAAGCATACATCCACATATCATATGCAAGGGGAAAATTTTTCCGCGACCGGTACCGAGTCTGGATGGCTCCATCCTCTTTTAAAATGGTCGGCCAGGAACTTCGTGTCACGCGCAACTTCGACTAGGATTCGACTGCCGAGCGACTGCCGAAGTTGCCTTTTGGTCTGGACATGCTCACTTTTGGAAAGGGGCAGCTTTCAGTTTCGATCTACGTACGTACCCTTTTAGCTTCATATTTGATGGCTTCCAAGCGCCCCGGGGACCCTGTTTAGAATTCCCGTACTCCACCCCACTTGACTTATCTTACCATTAGCCACAGCATGAGGCTCGTGCAGCCCCGGTCAAATGACGGGAAAGGAAAAATATTCCATATTTACTTGGAGGAAAGGTTGAATGGTACTAGTGCAAGGGGAAATGTACTACGCGTGTAATAGTGCAGTATGAAAGAATGGTAGTGATCCATGTCAGAGGACGTATTTTTAGACTCTTTCGTTTTCCCGCGTGCCTCAGAGCTTCAAATGTCCACCGCCATAATTGGCTTGATAGACCTAGCCATCCATCGATTTGTCGGATTTGATGGCTTGTAGTACGATCATCAACGTAGGGAGTCTAGGAACGGACTCGTGGCTGCAAGTCAGAGTGGGCTATGCGATTCCAACCCCAGCCAGTCAGGACAGCGCCCTCCGTTTAGGGCTGGTGGAGGCCCTTTTGGACATTCCAAGTTACCAACACGAATATTGGCCGGCCGATCCGCCACCCCAGGTTGGACCAGCCAGTGAGGTCAGTGCCGTCCGCCTTTCTGCTTACTATGGACACTAGTGCTGTTTCTGAGGCCGTAACAGCTTTTTTACCCCGGCGAAGCACGGAGGCATGCGCGGAGAGACAAAAAAGACGGGTGGAAAAATGAACAAACAGGCTTGCTCTTATTCTCATTACTCAGAAATAATAAACGCCTTTCAATTTCTCTTCACTTTTCGTAAAATCTCAGTTTCTTACTGTTCAGCGGAGTTGCGTTCACTATCCAATCTTGTCACTGCCTCAACCATCCACGCCTCGGCAGTCTCAGACAGTAGCGTCCAGGATCAATCCCGATACCTTCGTTATTGAGCACGACCCTATTCTCTCCCCGAATGCCATCAAGGCCGCGAACCGAGAAAGTCAAAATACGAGGCCGTGGGAGTTCTCAGAGCCAGTCTACACCGCGAGGTGTCGGAATACCAATCAGCATCTACTTGAAATGCTACCAGGCAATTTTTGAGCACTAAGAATGGTTTCAACAACATTGAAGTTTCATGAGCGCCGATCATAGTCAATAATGATCAAAATGGCGCTATGAACAAGATACACTGGAGACTACAGAAAATAAACCTTACAATTATGCTCTTTGATTTCGCTCGTTTTCGATTTATTTTTTCGTTACAGCAAGCTCATTTGGTACATAACTTGTGTCGGCTTATAGATAAATTACAATTCACCATTTACTCGTCCCAGAAACTCCCTTCACGGTGTAAGGCACAAGCACGGCCAAGCCTTCTCACATTTCGGCTGGAGTGACAACGAGTTGGATAGAAACTAAGATCGTTTCCGGTGGAAGCTCCCATCAGATAACCCTTAAACGGTGGGTCCATAAAGGACGCTAACCACAAATGCTCTGTCCACCCTCGTCGGGTCAGGGTTCCGAAGGCCCTTAATCGGATCGGAATGCAGACTGCGTAGTCTAGGGTATCAAGGAGCGAAATGAACAAGATGTGGTTAGCGTTGGCGTTCGACCTCTGACTCTCTGCGACTAAACTTTAAGTCAAAACCTTACGGACCTCTAGGTGACTAAGCTATGAGGTCAAGTCATGATTGAACCATTTTAGTTGAGCCTTGACTGTTCTGAATATGTTGATAGTCTTTATGGCAACAATAGATCGAGATCTAGCGCCGAATACCTATTACCTGGATATGTGAACATTAGCGCGGCTTCTAGGTCAGGGCTGAAAACTCAACTTGCTCGAGAGAGTACTAGATACATCCCTCTTGTCCAACACAGCCCTACATTCCCAAGCCGACCAGCCCTGCATCCTATTTTGTATCTCGGAAGTTGCGGAATAGAGCTTTGATACTGGTAGAGGTTTACGTCAGAAGATCTAAGTAGATTACTGTGTGTCAAATTACTTGAGCTAAATCATTACCGTAGGATAATAAATCTTCATGTATACTCTAGGGCAAACTATAGAAAGAATTAATTTACATATTCACAGCTCAAGGCTTTATCGAGTGTCTGTCCATACACTACTATTATCATAAAGCAAGAACGAATGAAAAGAGTCAGATAGTGGTTGAAGTCATTTACAGAGTAGTCTCAATAGACCTGGGTTCCAGTCATTCAAGCACTAGTTTCATAATCAAGCCGAAGAAACCATCTCGTGCGCAAAAAGTAATTATACACCATGGAGTGAAATAATACACAGGTATAACTAATGAACAAACCATTGTAGATCCGGGACTTAGAGTTAGTGGGTCCGGGGCTTAGATTTGCTCATAGTAGGTCTGTCATCTCTACGGTGGAGTCCAACCCGTCTGCTAGTGGGGTGTATGGCTTGCGATGAAATCGCCTCACACTTGAAGGGATTCAGGCGGGCTTAGTGGCGCATTCCTGATATTGTGGTACACGGTCGGTGCTTCTCGAGGAATTGTTCTATCGTTTCGTTACCTCTCGCTGTCATACACGAAGTCCAAAGGATCTAATCTGGTGTGCAAAACTCATCTATTTTATAATCAGAGTATAAGAACCCGCTCATTTCCCACCAATTTGTGCTTCAAAATGAGCTTTGTCCTACGGCATTTCTTGTTCCTTCTTGTACCAAAGGCACCTTATCCTCACTCCACCTTCAATCTTCCACACCTACTCATACAAATCACCAACATGGACGCTAGACCATCCCACACATTTACTTACTTGTCCCAGGGCCCGTCACAAAAAGACTTTTTCCAGCAAGAGTTTGACATATCCCATCAACACTTATCCCAAAACTCGCAGACTTCCACTGGCCCCCCCTCTACTACAGAGCATAGAGTTTCCGGGCAAAGCGCAATCACCCTTACGGAACACTCCGAACCACCTCATCAAGCTGCCTTTTCTCATCAGTCAGTAATTGAATTGTCTCTCTTCTTCTCCTTTATTCTACAACACTTCTGCAGCGATGTTTGTATGGAACCTCAATGGCTGGCTGGCCTTTAGCTAATTCCTCATTCGGCGTACTAGTACGCAAGCCCTATCGACAGTCCCAGACGGGCCGACCCGTGGCGCCCACGATCTCCGCCTTGTCGGTTCCTGGGCCGACCCAAATCCCGATACCCTCCTCATCGAGAATGACCCTATTCTCTCTCCGATACGCCGTGCTGGTGCCGCTGTCGACTATACGAAAAACGAAACTGGAACGACTGATCACGACGGACGTGAAAATCCCGAGGAGGCCGTGGGAATCCTCCGAACGAGTCTACACCGCGAGCAATCAAACTCTACTTGATATGCCATCAGGCGTTTACTTTGGCGTACAGGGTGTTTCACCAACTGGTAATGAGTGATGGGTAATGGGTAATGAGAAAATGGTGTCATGGACGGGATACATGGGAGATGCAAACACAAGACTTACGATTACAATACTGTCACTACCGACACACTATTTCGGGTTATTTTTTGTTGACACACACTCTTTTGAATACATACACAATCATTTAGATATATAAAATATACATTGATTCATAAAAATATCGCACTTGTGCCGGCACACATCAGGTAAATTGGACTTGGTCGTTTGCCCGTTCAATTGACATGGAGTTAGGGCTCGGTCGCCAAACCCTAACTCATCCCGAGCAGTGTACTACAACGATGATTGGCGCCATCCGATTCCAGACCAGATCCCCCAAGCCATCCTCCATAGTTCACCAACACTGATTAAATCAAATTCAGTCCTCTTCCTCCCCCCTCGCCAAAACCCTTCTCCTAATCGGCAACGCCGCAGCCGGCAAAATCTCATCCTCCTCTGTATCTGCTTCCGCTCTTCTCTCCATAAACCCTCTCTTTACAGGCTTCCCACTCCCAATTCTGAATTTATAATGACTCTGCCGTTTCTGTTGCGCTTGCTCTCTGGTATCGAGGTATTCTCTGTCTGTAATGTCGATTCTGTGGTGGACTTCTTCTTCGTTCGTGGCTTCGGTGGTTGAAGGGAAGCGTTTGGTGATTGTTTCGTCGGCGGGGATGTTGTTTAAGTATGCTGATGCGAGTGATAAATCGCTTCTCTGTAAAATTTTCCGGTCAAAAAATCGATTTTCTCATGTTCCATGTCTGTTGGTTGGTAAATATTGAGCTTACCTCGAGATGGTCGTATAAATGCGGCCTCGCATCCACGATACCAGCACCCAAGAACGCCGCAACGCAAAAACTTATTAATTGTATGAATCGCATTTTGTTCTTATCGCGCCAAGGAAAGGATATCTAAAAAAGCCCTTCTTTTGAAAATAAAATTCAAAAAGTAAATAAAAATATCAACGAATGAATGAATAGAATGTATCGTCGAGCCCGTCCTGCAGGTATCGACTTTCTTGGCTGGTTTCAATGAATGCTTTGATCGGAACGCAACAAAAGAACAAAAGCTTTGTTCCAAGGCTCGGCGTGCAGGATGATTATATACTTGAGTGATAATCTCTTACTTTTCAAGTTTTGTAGATAAGGGCGTTTATGTTTGACGAAGACTTGTTTTTCTGAGACGAGGGGTGTATGATTCATGTTCGAGAGTCATTAATGACATCCCGAGCCCTCATACTCACATACGTTGATCCATTTTTCTTACGGTGTGATTAGCCTATACTTACCATTAACCGTGACTACCAGGTAGTCAAATGTATTAAAACTGAATCATTTAACTACTCATCCTCTGAAAGGTGAGCTCGCAATGACGAATCTGAGAAACTCCTGTTTTACTCCTCTGACTCGGAGCGACGGACCGTTAGCCCTAATCCGACTCCCTGAAATGTGATAGTACCCGCGGGCGACTACCTAGAAGAGTTAAGGCAGGAGACATAGAGCGATTCAAAACTGTTTGATTATTTTTGATTTATGTTTGGTAAAAATATACTAGATGTCCGTTATTCTACAGGTATATACTCAAATAGAGGTTGGCTAACTAAAGGACGATGTTGTCGCAATATAAACCCTTAGCGGATGTCGTGAAACCTTAGGGGTTCAGGTGTAGCCGGCAAGCAATTCTTCCGACTTGTTACTATTTCGATCTATGCTTTTGCTTTCTTGCCTTTCTATTTGTCGAAATCTCTATAGTGGCTGACAGCTGGCTACCTTAATCAATATGCAGGTACTGCATGTACCAAGATAATCTGTACCTCGGGACACCCTGACATGGCGGGGCTGATGAATATCAATATCTCATTCAGTGGTACATGCTCTATCAATGCAAAGAAAAAGCGAATGCAAACAAAACTAGCGACAAGTCATATATGTACCCAAGCTTCAACGACGGAAACACATTTCGCAAAAAAAAGAACGCCACAAAACGCCTCTTACAAGGCATCTCCTTGCCTAGTGAATGATATGTACCTATCCAACGACGATCATGATTCTCTATCATTTGTTGTGTATGAGCAAGTTGTGGAACGATGTCCAGTGGTCGGAGTCAACATAACTAAGCAAGTAATCAGTACGATTATTTCTTTTCACAGAGGGAGCTGGGGAGACTTACATGTATGTCATACTACTCCTCAAGCTGTTCACGATAGACTCTGGATGCCATCGGAACACGTACATGACAGCCGCCCAGCTGAGTGCCGCAAATGCCGGCCATGCATTATCCTGTATCCGTGTGCGGGCTTCCGGTGTGATGAGGGAGGAGAGCGGGTGCATGTTCGGCTGCACGGAAAGACTTGCCATGGCGAGTACGACTCGCGCGAAGACGTATATCACGATCTGCCACATATCAGGATCATGCCATCTCTTTTCTAGTCGGGGTAGAATGAGCGTACCTGTTGGCTGACACTGCCCGGATTTCTGCCAAAGACCACATAACCGCCTAGCAATCCAGCGAAAAAGGTATCATATGGACCCTCCTTGGTTCCCGCAGGATTGAGGTATTTCATCGCAAACATTGCACTTTTGTATATGACGGCGAATCTGGCGAGATTACTTGCATGTTGTCGGGTAGCTTTGAGGACGAGCTTGACTTTTTCGCGGAATCTATCGCCGCAACGTCAGCGCTAAACTTGTCGTTGGCTGTTTGGGCGGAAGAAAACTTACGTTCCGGACCGGAAAAGAAATATCATACTGCATCAAAACATTGTTATTATGTATGTATGCGATCGGGGAACTTGTCTGAGTCTTACACTAGGGCATGTGGAAAACGGACTTTGGCGCCATACACGGCACCGTTGCGGGCGGCTTTAAGGAGTGTCAGGAGAGGTTTCAGGTTTGGATTGAGCGCAATGGCGTCGAGGGTGTCCTGTTGTAGAGTAAAAAATTAGTTTTAATCAAAGTGAATGGGAACCGCCAGATCTTACCATGATGGAATCCATGATCACAGGACGCAGAAACAGTTTTTAGCCGGTTGAAACAAGTCCCGTGGATGAACTGAACTTCAGGTGATTCTAGTCCAGAGCAGCAGGACTGTCATGAAGCTGAAAACTATCGAAACGAAGCTGGTATATTATCATGAAGGTTGGTTATGGAGAGAATTCCACCGCACTCACAACAGGTTGTTCGGATGAAGCTGGGGTCGCATCCCGCTTGACGTGACAGACAGAGTTTCTGGGGAACCCGAGGCCTCGGCATGTGAACGCTCCGCGAAACACTGCCGGGAACGACGTCACTGCGCACGTGACCATTCATGCCTCAAAATTCCGGCAGCAGGTTGTTAAATATCTACTGGAGATCTTTGTTTACTTTTCTTGTTCCTATGTGAGCATTGCCAACAGCACTTTTATCAGGGGCATCAAAGCACCAATCTATAGATCCCAGAGAAGTATGACGCCCGTGTGTTGTGTCTTCCCTAGTTGCGATATATTCATATTATGATATTTGATACGAGGTCCCTGGTAACCTCAATGTGCATGAACAAACCAATTGCTGGCCGACAAGATGCAAAAATAACCATTATGGCTATTTTGTGAACTGAAACAAAGTATCAAAATCTCATGATGCCCAGATAAATCCATTCGGGCATCCTAGTCTATTAATTCTTGATGACACACCCATCGATGAGTGTTATCCAAACCCTTCGAAGTCATGGAAAGTTCAGGAAATCATAGAGACGGAGAAGAAGGACGACTCTAGCGCATATGCTCATCTTGTTGTTCAGATGTCCAGCCCGTCTAATGGTTGAGAGAACTCCGTGCTCTATTCGGAACTGTGGACAGTGATTACCATCATTAAACATCGAGCTAGTCAGCGAAGACTGGACGAAGAGGTTGAGCAGGAAGCCCTCATGGAGTGCAGTAGCGCTAAAGAACTTCACGAAAAGATCAGAAAGTACGATTTCGAATTCGTAAAAGAGGAGCACTTTCCTACGCTCTTGTTCTCATACATCGGAGTGTAGCACGCGATTGTCATTTTTGCATGCATGGACCGCAACACACTGCGAATCTGCCAATCGCAGCTTTTTGACTTTACGAAGACGGATGCTTGATTATTTGACCAGTTCGCTGATGTATCATTTAGCCAGATCAAAGGGTTTTAGCCTTATAGGATTGAAGAGCCTCCAGTGATGAATTCATACCTCATCAAGGTGCCGGTGTCTGTCATGCCGTTAACATGACGAAGCCAAGACGAGCTGTTGTTTCCTTTTGCGAGCATTGGCTTTATGATTCAGTCTCTAATATACTCTAGGCAACAAGAGACAACATTTAGAGTAAAATATTATATACTCGTAAAACAACATAGATGTATTCACAACCCAACCAACGCCATACCAAATGTAGAGAAATCAAACAGCAGACAATTTTGTTCAAGCCAATCTCTGCTTTTTCGAACGACTTTTCTCATCATCAACATCCATCATATCCACATCCGACGGCGCATCTTCATCCACAAACGCAATATCCTCACTGTTGTCCGATCCATAATTCGATGCGTCATCCTCATCCTCTCCCTCATCCTCAGAATCCGTATCCACGCCAGCCCTCCTCTTGAGACCCTTCATCTTACGCGTCTGCAAGTTCGACAGATCCTGTTTACCGAGATGCACACGACCAACCTTGTCACCAATAGCGTCCATGGTAATATTCTTCTTCGTTCTGCCTTCTTCATTGGGCCGTTTGCCCTGTTTCATAGCTTCCTTCATAACATCCGGATCCGCGTCGCGCACACGGCCAACCCTAAAATCGAACTTGGGGCCTACTTCATCCAGCTCAACGCGCGGAAGTTTGTGGCCACTGCGTCTCGTACGGATCTTGTACCATCGTAGATGGATAAGCGGCATGAGGCCTGCTTCGGCAGGTTCTTCGGCACCAACCATCATCAAGTACTGCAACCCCTCCACATCGATTTTGTCGGTTTCCTCGCCCTTGAACATATCCAACAACACGCTCTTGACCATGGCATAACTGGTGGATGTAGCATCCTCCCATATACTACCCGCGAACAAAATCATAGGCTTAATTCCAACCTCAATCTCAAGCTTGAGCGCATGAGGTGCGGGGATCGGCTCGCCATCTGCCGGCGGTAAGAGCAATAACTCAAACATCTCCAACACTTTTTTGTTGTATATCCGTGCAAGAGTCAGGCAATTCGGCCTCTTTTTGTTGCTGCTCCCATACACCACGATACCGCATTCATTCTTGTCGGCCAAGAATTCGATGCTCTCTGTGCTTTCGAAGGGGTGCACGTTGTCGTTCTTCTTGTGGAAAAGGACCGAATTCGGGTTCGTAAGGCCGTGGATTGTCTTGAGTAAAGTGTTGAGTGGTAAGGGACATTTTGTGCCGTGGAGGAGGAGAGTGCGCTTGGGGGGTTCGATGAGTTGGGGTTCCTTCTTCTTGAGAAGGCGCGCCGTGCGCGGATTTTTAGGTTTTCTATTTCCTTGATGTTAGTATGATTTATCTGAATTTTTGTTTTTGAGAGCCTTCCGAAGCATTGAAAAATTGACACACAATCAACAGCATGCAACAAAATTCGAACTCAATATAGGAATTGACTTACACTTCACGAAGCATCTTGTTAAGCAAAAATCAAATTTCGCGCTTCCAGATCAACACTGCAGTCTATCGACAAGGTGAGATGTCTCCGAAGCCAGTCAGTCGGAGCGAAGAAAAAAGTTAAGGATATTTTTTCTTGGCATCGCTGATAGCGCTTATCTTATCGATAAGCTTATCGGTCACGATAAGTGTCGCGTGGATTGAGCCTGTGATGCTGGTGAGCTATATACGAGGCTTAGTTTTAGTTTGTTGCTTAATTGATTATCGATTGGGAGTAGAGTCTAGATCTGAGTCTGTCAGATCTTCTTTGGAGTAGAAGGACTTGCGTACGGCCGGCCGGCCGGAGTGATGTTACTATGAGCGCCCCATCTGCAATCTACAAGCTGCGGCCTTATAAACGAGCTATCCATACATGAATAATGTGATAATTGATTCCTTCATGTGTTGATAGAAGCTGCGCAAAATGCTATGCTTCATTGAGTAGTACTAAGCACTGCTCAGACCAGCTAAACCCTGCCAAGCTCACCTGACACACGAACAGTTTCGCCTCACCATTCCCGAAACAGGAACATCCCGAGACCCCTAATGACATTATGACTGTACATTAACGCTCTGCTGCCGTCCAGATCACACTGCTTGTTCCAAAAATTAAGCCCAAGGGATACGCCACATACGGCAATGCTTGAACGTGCGACGATTTTGAGACCGTTTGAAGTAATAGTTTCTCCCTATAGGTAGGAACTAGGTAATAGCTTGTCAGAATATGGTCATTTTGTCTTCATGTTCTTATAGAACACGCGTCCACCCGAGACAGACGGTACCTGAACCCCTTTGTGTGAGAGGAAAGCATAAGAACATTTTGTAGTGGTTTATTTAATCAACATGAAAGCGCTAGTAGTCAATTTCACTTTCTGTGCTTCTCTGACTAATTGACTTCCTACTTTTTTTTGCTGTCTCTCATTCATCCATATTGCACCAAACAGAGTCGAATTGTTTCCTTTCTCAAGTCATTCCTTCCTTCGGTGGAGATCAGATTGCGGCTTGCTGAGCAGGCAGTATCGGTCGCTGCCAAAACAATTGTCCGTGTGCGAAAAAGGGCCGCAAGATAATATTCAATATGCGTCGAGCTATTCTGTTCGGTCTTTTCGCATTTTTAGCCGAGTTCAGTGTAGGTTGTACTCAATGCAGTAGGCTGCAAAAGCTAACGAAGATCAAGGATGTTACCCTCGCTCGTCGACACCCATCCTACGGGACCAGCATAACGAACGCGAAATCGAACGGGACACGTGCAGACAATCACAAGAATGGGAAGGGTAAGGGCAACGGGAATGGCGGTAAAACCCATTCAGCGAGTGCCGTAAGTGCAACAAGTGTGGCGAATATTGGGAGCATAGCGACTATAGCAATTGCACCAAGCATCGCGAGCGTAGCATCTTCCGCGAGTGCTGTGAGCGCCGCAAATTTAGCGAGTGCAGCGACCAGGTATATCCTCCAAGCAGAAACATTTTGACAAGTCTAACATTGCTCTAGTCAAACTGTCGGGATTATCGTGCCTTTAAATCCGGCAACAGCATCAACCTCGACCTCAACAACCGCAGTACAAAGTACGGCTGTTTCATCGCAAGCCGTGCAGCAAGCCTCTTCTGTGGCAGGTAGGTATCAACGCCTCATAGCTAGCTGAGCTCACTCTAATGGTTAATAGTGACAAGCACTGCTGCAGCTGTCCAGGCGTCTCAAACCATTTTCGTGACGGCCGGTAACGGGGGTGCCACAATTACCGAAGGAGGAGAGACAATAATCATCTCGCAAATAGGAGGTCAAGGGACAAAAACTACAACCACTACAGCAGAGCCCTCAGCTACCGTGTCTGTCGTTATCGTGTCGTCTCCAAGCACTGTGATTGTCACGGCGGGCTCAACCACGAGCGCACCGGCCGTTACGTCCACATCAATCTCGGCGCCTGCAATAAGTATTCCAGGAATTGGTACGAATTCGGTTGTGACCCCGCTGGCCGGAGAAACAAATGCAACCGTTACGGCTGCTACAGGTGTGCAGGCCACATCATTCGTCACTTCTGCCATTGCAAGTGCTGTAACCAGCGCTGCGGCTGCTGTAGCAGCCAATAATCAAGATACCTGTCAATGTGCCTGTGCATGCCCAGCGAACTTGATTTTGCAGGCAGCGACGGCTCCCATCCAAGCATCACCTAGTCCAGTATCGTTGGTGTCAACTTCATCATCGTCATCAGCGCCTTCCGCCTCCACTCAGAGCTCAACGACTACAAGACCAGCAACGGCTATTGACAGTCAGGCGGGTGCATCCTCACCAACGATAGCAACCGCAATTACATCGATTCCAGCATTGGCTACGTCAATAGTCTCTTCAGCTACCAGTGTGCCCTTGACGTTCGGAACGTCAGTTGTTCAACCGGCATCGCCTGCTTCTGTAACCACAACATTCCCTAGCACCACATCGACCACAACTTCAATCACCGTGTCAACAACCACAGCACCGACTGAAGCTGCCAATGTGAACATCAATACTGTTGCGCTTTATTCCGCGTTGACGATCAAGATCGGTGGATAGGTATGAAGTATTTGGGATTGGAGGATCTTTGTCGAAGGAGTTTCGGTCTGCAAAACTGTCCACTGTGTCGACTCACAGAAATAGACATTAGCTAGAACAATAATATCATCTGCTAAACAGAGTACTTCTGCTGTTCACGTAGCAAGCAAACATTGCTCTTTGGGCCACATCTGCCGATTCCTTCCCATGTCATAGTGGTGATGAATGTGCTTAATGCGTGTCTTCAAGACTGAACATGGGCTTCGAGACGTGCTTTTTTCGCTCTGCGCTTCATTTCCCGCTTGGAAAGAGGTTTTTCGATGTCCTGGGCGGACTCCACAGAAGCCTTTCGTTTCAGATTTTCTCCATTGTTATCCAAAATAGTGACCGTTTGTTCCACTTTCTTCTTTGATGCATCGTCAACCTTTTTGGGTGCTGGCTTTTCACCACCATCGACTATGTCGATAACGCCTCGCCAACTTGTCCTTTTGAGACTAGACAAGGCCACAACTTTCCGAGCTTCCTCACATATGGCCTCTTTACCTCGTTCATGAGACAAACCCCAAACACATGCGAGATTGACGACGTCCATTGGTGCGCGAATGGCCAATGCTCGTTTAGCTTCGCTGGATATGATGATACCTCGACCCCTCGTCGCTCTAATCAGACTCATAGCATTACCAATAAGATTCCTGCGGGCTTCCAATCCACTTCCAGTGATTCCGGGGCTATAGCATATTTCGAATCGTACCCCTCTCGAGATTGCGGAAGAAACGGTCTTAAATTTGAAGTGAAAAGGAAGACGGACAGACAAGTCCAACGAAATCAAGTCGCAATCAAGATTTGTGCAAGCGTTCAACAAGCTCTTCTCGTTCATGGGTCGTACGGCAACAATCGAAAATAATGGTATCAGGTTTACCATACGGTAACTCTGCGATGGGTCGGACAGGACGAGGTTGAGGCGCGTCAACAGTGTGAGGGATTTTGGAGCATTAGGTGGTAGTTGAGGAGCTGCCAAATTTGGTGGTAATTTGCCTGACATTGTTTGGGACAAAGCGACTGTTGTATACCCAACTAAATTTATCTAAATCAGCGGGCTGTTCCTCTCTAGGTCGATTCATCGTCACTTACCTTCAGCAAGGAAGTTGAGGGTATTAGTCAATTGAGCCTCATCGGCTGCATATGGGACGTTGAGGTCGTAGAACATATTGAAACCTGCCCTGCTAAAAGCATCTACTGCAGTTACAGCTCCTGGGTAGTTGAAACAGACAATAAACGAGAATTTGTTGGTTGAACGAAAAAGAGAGAAGACACGATCTTTATATCAGGCTGGCAGCTTCTTTAAAAATATCAACTGATGTATTCACCGCCTTCACTCCGAACCAATCAGAGCGGTGGCTGGCTATCGACATCAGACGAGCGGCCGGAACCTTTGAGCGAGATAAAAATGTCATGGCCCAGCCATCCCATATAAACCCACTTTTCATTCGGTTTGCGAACCATCCTGCTGCCCTGTCACGTCGTATTTGTTGTCGATCGCTAATTCATTGATTTGCCTCCTCTGTTTTTACTAAAACTTATCTCGTTTGTAAAGCGTACGTGAGTTTCGTCTTTTATCTGGTCGCCTGCTCATTCGTCTACCCCGCTTTCGGCATTTCTATCAGAAAAGCCCAACTGTGGGCGCGACCTTTCTTCACCAACACCACAAGATGGCGCGAGTCTATGCGGATGTCAACACGCATATGCCCCGGTCCTATTGGGACTACGATAGTGTGAACATATCGTGGGGTGCCTTGGAGAATTACGAGGTTGTTCGCAAGATTGGTGAGTGACAGAGCTTCTGCCTGTACTAAAAGAAGCAGAGACTGATTTGGGCATCTCTAGGCCGGGGAAAGTACTCCGAAGTCTTTGAGGGAATCAACGTGGTCAACTACCAGAAATGCGTCATTAAGGTCTTGAAGCCGGTCAAGAAGAAGAAGATAAAGCGTGAAATCAAGATTCTCCAAAATTTGTCGGGTGGACCGAATGTCGTCGCTCTTCTCGATGTCGTTAGGGATAACCAAAGCAAAACGCCCAGTCTTGTCTTTGAATATATCAACAATACCGACTTCCGGACCCTTTACCCACGCTTCGTTGACTATGACGTCCGTTACTATATCTTGGAACTCCTCAAGGCTCTCGACTTTTGTCATAGTAAGGGTATCATGCATCGGGATGTCAAGCCACACAATGTTATGATTGATCACGAGAATCGCAAGGTATGTTTCATTATAGAACTTCATAATCCACGTACTGATGACTGTCAGCTGCGCTTAATTGACTGGGGTCTGGCGGAATTCTATCACAAAGGCACGGAATACAACGTACGCGTCGCTTCGCGTTACTTCAAAGGACCCGAGCTTCTTGTCGATTTCCAGGAATACGACTACTCTCTTGATATGTGGTCTCTCGGTGCGATGTTTGCTTCTATGATTTTCCGCAAGGAGCCGTTCTTCCACGGCATCAGCAACGCCGACCAGCTGGTAAAGATTGCCAAAGTACTCGGTACCGAAGAGCTATTTGAATACCTCGACAAGTACGATATTGAGCTAGACTCTCAATATGATGACATTCTATCGCGCTACCCCAAGAAGCCATGGCACTCATTTGTCAATGCCGAGAACCAACGATTTGTGAGCAATGAAGCTATCGACTTTCTAGACAAGTTGCTGAAATATGATCACGCGGTACGCTTCAAACATGATATTGAGTTGTCTTAGCAATTTGTGGCTGATTCATTTTAGGAGCGTCTTACTGCGCAAGAAGCGATGGCTCACCCATACTTTGACCCTGTCCGCGCGGGTGCAACAGGTCAAAATAGTTCTGCAGCTCCGCAATCTTAGGTACTCGAAAGATCATCGATCACTCTGATTTATACCGAAACAGCAATCAACCTATTCTAGCATGCCAAAATACACGTGTTCACAATTACTTTTCCCGTCTTGACTCCCCGATCTTATTGGCATCACCATCAATCCCTCCGATATGATCTACCCGATGACCCGGTGCCGGGAGCGATAGCTTAGAAATTGGCAATGACTACGACACGTTTCATTTCGGTACCTGCTGCTGCCAAATAATCCTCGATATATTCAACCTTGAACAAACTATAACGAGCCATCATTCTATTTTACCCCTCTCTTTGTTGATGGTTTCCTATACGGACGGGTGGCTGAGGCGTCTGGGTCCTATTGATCAATTGGTGTTACGGACATTCATGTATCACATCGATCCGGTTGATGCTCATGGGTCAATGCAGCATATGTGGCATGGGCTATGATTTTTCATTTCTCATCTAATGGCGAGATATGATTTTGCATAAGGATTACTGTTATTATACGATTTCTATCTTCCTGCCTCAGGTTCAGACGTAGTCTCGTGTTCTTATCGATAGGGACCACGTGACCTTCTAACGTATTTTGCTTCCTTTTCAATTCGACATCCTCCTCTTGCAATCACCGAACAACTATCAAGAACCACGCTGTAATAGAGCCTGCGCCGTAAGTGACTCATTCCAATATCACATTCCATGCAACTTTTACACGCCTTATATCGTGCCGTATTACACTGTTCTGCTGTCTCCACAATCCCGCAGGCTACCATTGGCCCCGCAGTCCGCCCAGTTTGACTCATTCACAGAATAAAAAAAAGGGCTTCCCCTCCTCTCCGGCCTAGCTCCTTCACGTCTCCTCCGTCGTGCTTGTCGCATATCCCACAGCGACATTCAAAATACTCATTCGAACTCTTGTGGCGCGGCGAGCGCCTTGGAGGGTACTGTCTCCTAATCTACGTTTATTCATGGCTACCACATCCGGCTCTGCGAACCCTCGTGAGTGTCCCCTCGTTCATGTATTCGGCCTTGAGATGACATACTAACGCTGCTATGTTGCAGTGGGTGAGCAGACTGCTCCTGTTACCGGTCCCCCTCCCGCCGTCCCCCAAAATGTCCAGTCTGAGATCCAGCAAGCCGCCAAAGATAGTCAATCCGAACCGGGCAAGGATACCTCTGCGCCTCCTGAGGGTAAAGTGAAGACGGAGAAGGAATTGGAAAGAGAGCGCAAAAAGGCCGAGAAAGCGAAGAAATTTGCTGAAAAGAAGGCAAAGGCTGCCACCGCGAAACCTGCGCCACCCAAGGCCGAGAAGAAAGAGAAGGTCATCGACAAGACCACCGACGCATATGACCCAGCAACAATTGAAGCTGGTCGGTATGAGTGGTGGGAGAAGAAGGGCCTGTTCAAGCCTCACTTTGATGCAAATGGCGAAGTCAAGCCCGATGGTGTCTTCTCAATGGCTTGTCCTCCTCCTAACGTCACTGGTGCGCTTCATATGGGCCACGCCCTCATGGTGGTAGGTTTCGTCTACAGGTCTCATCGCTGTTGTTGATGCTAAGTGGGATTTACCTTTTCAGGCTCTCCAAGATACAATGACTCGTTACTACCGAATGAAAGGCAAGACAACCGTGTGGGTGCCGGGTACAGATCACGCAGGTATTTCGACTCAGAGCGTGGTTGAGAAGATGCTGTGGAAGGAGAAAAAACAAACTCGTCACGATCTCGGTCGACCGGAATTCTTAAAGTTGACACAAGACTGGAAGGACAGATATCAAGGATCTATCCTCACTTCGCTGAAAGCAATGGCCGCCTCGCTGGATTGGTCGCGTGAGGCTTTTACGATGAACCCCAACTTCTCCGCCGCTGTTACCGAAACTTTCTGCCGTCTTCATGAAGAAGGGACAATTTATCGTGCCAATCGTCTCGTCAACTGGTGCTGCGCCTTGAATACATCTTTGTCCAACTTGGAGGTCAACAATCAAGACATTTCTGGCCGAACGTTGCTTGATGTTCCTGGCTGTAAGAGTTCTGCTTCTTGTTAGAGAGCTGTATGGTGCTGACTTATTATTAGATGAGAAGAAGGTTGAGTTCGGTGTCCTTACACACTTCTGCTACGAGATTGAGGGAACAGGAGAACGCATTGAGATCGCTACCACTCGACCTGAAACCATGCTTGGTGATACCGGTATTGCTGTACATCCCGATGGTACGTGCCACTTATACCCAAAACTTGGTTATTTACTAATATATCTCTAAATAGACAAGAGGTACCAACACATTATCGGCAAAAATGCTAAGCATCCATTCGTCGACCGTCTTCTTCCTATTGTTGCAGATTCAACTGTTGCCATGGACTTTGGTACCGGTGCCGTCAAATTGACTCCTGCTCACGACTTTAACGATTATGCTCGTGGAAAGCAGCACGGCCTTGAGTTTGTGTCAATTGTGAGTTGTCTAGATTCAGGTGACATACGTTGTTGATACTAACATATAAATATAGCTGAACGACAATGGCACCCTCAAAGACAACTGTGGTCACTTCTCAGGTATGAGGCGATTCGATGCGAGATATGCTGTCATTGAGAAGCTCAAGGAAGCCGGTCTTTACGTCAAGTGGGAGAACAATCCTATGGTTATCCCCCGCTGCGAAAAGAGTAAGGATATCATTGAGCCTGTGCTCAAGCCACAGTGGTGGATGAAGATGGATGATATGGCAAAAGCCGCCATGGAAGCTGTCGAGAAGAAGGAAATCACCATCAGCCCCCTCTCTGCTGAGAAGAACTTTTTTCATTGGATGAGAAACATCCAGGATTGGTGCATTTCCCGTCAGCTTTGGTGGTATGTTCGCAATCATTCTTATGCACTCAGACTTGTGTTTATTAATTTAATATTTTAGGGGCCACCAAGCACCTGCCTACCTCGTTCAAGTTGAAGGCCAGGCGGCCGACGATGGTGATAGCAACTTGTGGGTGAGCGGGCGAACGGAAGAAGAGGCTCAAGCCAAGGCTGCCGCCAAGTTCCCAGGCCAAAAATTTACTCTCAAGAGAGATGAAGATGTTCTCGACACATGGTTCTCTTCGGGACTGTGGCCTTTTGCAACGCTTGGATGGCCAAACGCTGATAGCCACGACTACCAAAAACTCTTCCCCACTAGCACCTTAGAGACTGGTTGGGATATTCTTTTCTTCTGGGTCGCGTACGTCAACTCTATTCTTTTCTGTGAATATGATATCTAACAACATCATAGGAGAATGATCATGCTCAGTCTTAAGCTAACAGGAAAGGTGCCTTTCAAGGAGGTTTACTGCCATTCCTTGATTCGGGACAGTGAAGGTCGTAAGATGAGCAAGTCCCTTGGTAACGTCATTGACCCTCTTGATGTTCAAAAGGGTATCACTCTGGATGCTCTCCATGAGAAGTTGAAGCAGGGTAACCTTGCTGAAAAAGAAATCGGGGTGGCTACCAAGTACCAGAAGAAGGCTTTCCCGAAGGGTATTCCAGAGTGCGGTGCTGATGCTCTGCGCATGGCTCTGGTTTCTTATACCACTGGCGGTGGTGACATTGCGTTCGATGTTAACGTCATCTTCGGATACCGTCGATTCTGGTAAGCGAATTGAACAATCAGGATTGATCATTATACTAATCTGTATATAGCAACAAGATCTACCAAGCCACAAAGTTCGTTCTTGGAAAACTTGGCTCTGACTTCGTTCCTCTTCCCAAGCCTACCAAGACCGGGCGCGAGTCTCTTCCTGAACGTTGGATTTTGCAAAAGTTCAACACGGCCGCCAAAGAGATTAACAATGCTATCGAGACACGAGAATTCTCCAACTCTGCATCAACCGCATACCAATATATCTACTCACAACTATGTGATGTCTACATTGAGAACTCCAAATCTCTGCTCCAGTCTGATGCCCCCGTCGAAGTCCAAGAATCGGCCAAACAGACTCTCTACACCGCCCTAGAAGGCAGTCTCTTGCTCATTCACCCCATCATGCCTTATATCACCGAAGACCTCTGGCAGAGACTTCCCCGCCGCGAAGGAGACAAGACCGAGTCCATCATGGTAGCCCGGTTCCCCGAATACAACGCCTCCTTCGACGACCAGGCTGCCGAGAAGGCGTACGAACTCGTCCTTGATACTTCCAAGGCCATTCGTTCAATTCTCGCTCAGTACGAAGTCAAGGAGAAATCCGACCTCATCCTCGCGACTTACAACGAAGCAAGCCACAAGACCCTCTCCGACGAAGTCGCCGCCATCAAATCCCTTGGTGGCAAGTACGCCGGCGAAATCACTGTGCTTGGACCTGACGCCAAGTCCCGCCCCGATGGCTGTGTTGTGAGCCCCGTCGGCGCCGACGCTGCTGTCTATCTCAAGGTCTCGAAACAGGTCGCTCTAGAGCAGGCTGAAAAGGCCAAGGCCAACCTGCAAAAGACACTTGACACTGTGGCCAAGATCCAAAAGACGATGAGTACCCCCGGCTGGAGGGAGAAGGTCAAGATTGAGGTTCAGGAATCAGAAGAAAAGAAACTCCGCGATGCAGAGGGCGAAGCCACTTTGATCGAGGAACAGATTCGTGAATTGGAGAAACTGCGCTTGGACGCTTAAGTCACAGGCTTTGATCTTACAAGGAAAGGTCATCTATTGTTTGGTAAAAGTAAGGAATTTTGTTCGTTATCTCGGATATCAAATGTTGTTTAGATACGGATGTAACCCACCTCTCAAGCAAAAATCTTATTTCTTTCCATTAATTTCCCATTCAATTATTAAAGGCCGTAAAAGGGCCTCTTTTATTTTCGGTCGAGCTTTTCCAATGATTAATATATAGAGTAAAAAGATGCGCGCATACTAGATGATCTCGTATCTATAGGGGGATATTGCTAGCGAGGGAGGTCATGACATATGCCGTGAGACTGGATACAATGCTCCTGCATTTCTTTAAATAATTACCGAACTTACATTGTGTTTTACTGTCCTATATTCCTTTTAAAAAACGATCCCTTGCTATCAAGCTGAATTTTCCCCCGGACGGCCGCGAGGGCAGAATTTCCAGTGGAATCCAAACAGACAAAGCATGAAGATATCTAAGTACCAGTCGATCCAATAACAAGTGCTACGTCTTTAAGTCAATTAGCCAACATTGACTCATTGATTATTCGTACTCTTGTGTCCTTTCTCGTCAGTCGGGTGACCATCGCAGACAACCGATCAAAGATAAGTATGCTAATATGATCACGTCTGCCTGCCACGAAATAATCTTCGCCGAGTAGCACCGCTTCAGACGTGGAGATTTATGTCTTATGCGAATAAGTCAACTTAATACTTTTATAGATAGGCACCTAGGTACTACAGATGTCATGACCAGGAACCCATCAAAGTAAATCGGGTTTCGCCTTTTGCAAAGGTTCCAGCGGCCATTCCTGTAAGAGTCCCGGCCGAGATTCCATCACGCCAGAGATAGTCTGCGGCTTTTCCATCATTGAAAATCCGTTCGGTGCTTTCTTTGCCTTCAGCGTCATTGCGCTTTGCTGGTTAAAAAATCACGGGTCAGGGGTAGAGCGAGGAAACCGCGCGTGAGCCAGACGACATCTACACCGATCCAATATTCAGGAACAGGAATTCAATAGTTCTAGTCAAACGAGAAAATCATGTTTTGTCGTGCAAGACTGAACGAATGAATACATTCAATTACCACGAGACTCAAGAAACGATCGACAGACCGAGTCCCAGGTAGAGGAGTAGGTATCAAAATGATATGTGATCTTCGTTCGTCCCCGTTACATCATATTAATACTCGGATCAGAAGAAACAATTGGCACGGTTGACGAGAGCGAGCCACGTTCCAAAGGTTTCTTCACGCGGCAGAACAGCGCCCCTCGATTGACTTTTGCGCGCGGACTACAAGGTACAAGGGGTCAAAGAGCATTCACCGAAGCGGTCGGGATTTACACAAATGAAAGCGTTGGATTTACAGCCAGATTATCATAACAAATTGGGCATCAAAAAGAGTGACTAGAGCATGGCGGGTTAAGGGTCTTCGATGCCGTATATGCAAGTCTTTGTTCCGATCAGCAGGACATCGAAGATTTGATCCATGGATGCCTTCCGAGGTCGTATCGGTGAAAAAATCACGCAGTTGAGGCTGGAAGAAGCCTAGCGACAGGACAGAGTAAAATTTTTATTGTACGCCGGAAATCCCTCATATAAAAACACCAGTAAACAAGCCACATTAAAAAAAATATTTATATGTAAGTTCACGCCCGTAGCTATTTTTTTTGGTTGCAAGACTTGCCCGTCCGCGCTCTATTGAAGATATTCACACAATTCGAGTGAAACCGCTCAAATCATCTATCTATTTCAGTTATCCTTCGATGAACAACCTCAACTATCCACCTGTTTGTGACTTCTTTGCTGTGCGAGCAGACTCACCATCTCTCCGCGCAGCAGGCGTCCGTCAGTACCTGGGCTTGATTGATCTACTCGACCCTGGCTAGGTCCTGTTTGGTGGTATACAATTGTTCTTTGTTTTGTTTATTTTTCGCTCGGTACATACTACAAGATTATTCATTGCATATCGAACGGGCCGGCTAGACCCAAGTGCTTGGAATGGGAAAAAAGATCACTTGCTTTAGAGATTTGTTTGTTCTGATTCACGATGTTGGAACAGCTGTGGAAGGCTGCTCGCAAGCCTGGCGCAAAGGGTGCGGTGCAGGGTGTGGCCCCTGTACAGAGATTCACAGACAAGACGGACCGTCGAGACGAGGAGGCAACATTGGGAACGCAATTCGTGGAGGGCGAGAAGACGAGACTGCTTGATCGGTGGCTGGACAAAATCGTTCGTGCGTCGGGTTCGGAGATTGTGTTCTTTGGTATTTTGGCAGCGTTGCTTGTCTGGGCGCTGCTGGGGATTCGTTTCGGCGACACGGAGAACTGGCAAGTGATCATCTCGGATGTCCAAGCTATACTCAGTTATGCGTTTGACTCGCTGCTGGTAAGACAACAGATGAACATGTACGATCGTGAAATGGTGGTTGCTGCCCAGATGCAGTCTCGCGTCCACAGCCATTTACGCATGTTCTCCCAAGCACAAAACGAGCTTACGCAAGAACAGAAGACGGTTCTTTTGACGTACTGCAGCCGAGAGGAAACGGATGAGAATAAACTGGCTCTGCCGTCGGAAAGCAAGTTTGGTCTTTTCATCACCGCGGTGTCACACATCCTTGGTCATATTGCTCTGGTTGCACTTTTCTGGGTAGCGGTGTTCGTGTGGATTGGAATCGGTCCCATGTTTCAATTTAGCGACTCCTGGCAGCTCTACATGAACTCGGCCTCGTCTGCATGGATGGTTCTTTACTTTGCATTTCTCGCGAATATCCGCGAGCGTCACAGTTTCCACGGCAAGATCTGTCTTGACGCTCTCTTCGAAGTTGACGGCTCCCTCGAGGCTCATTTGCGAGCCTTGACCAATGACAAAGAAAGCAATTCAGAGGTTGTCTTGAGTGCGCCCAAAGTTAACAAACTTCAACGTGCCATTTTCTACTATGCCGACTTTGTAGGTACGCTCGTGGGAATTGCTATTCTTCTCACCGTCATGATCGCCTGGCTCGCCACCGGCCCTGTATTTCACTTCAGCGCCAACTGGTGGTTATTCATCGGAACGTACGCCGGTCTGGTCGGCATGCACGATGGGTTTGTGCTGCGCAACATGCAAACACGGTTGACATCCTACGTCGAAAAGGAGATGGAAGTTCTTCAACAAGCAGATCGGATCATCTTCGAGCGTACAGGCTTGAAGTTCCCCGAATCTCGCGCCGATAGACGTCTCACTCTATCCGAACGGGTCTCAGTTGTGGTGGACAAGGTCAGTGCGCATGAGCTTACAGTGCTTCTTGGGCTCCTCACTATCATCGGTTTGTTGGTCGGCGCTAGCGCGATGAAATGGACGTTGACGGGCCAGCTTTTGTGCAACGTGCCTCCCAGTATCATCGAGTCCTTCTTGATGATGATCCTTGTGACGGGCCACAACCTCGTTGACGACCGGAAGCGCTTGGAACTTCAGACTCTGTATGAACGACGCGTGAAGCTGTTGGGATACGCGCAGAAACTGAAGGAGATTCAAATACAACCGATGAGTGCGCCTGATTCAAAGGAACCTTCCCTTTCAGTCGATGCGACAGCACCTTGAAGTGAGCTGGCAATATCATTTCCTCGCAGAGATCGAGCAATACAATGGTCCATCAACTCTCAGTGTCTGGATCCAAGAATTGACGACGTTTTCCGTTTCGTTGAATCGAACTCTGGCTTAGAGAATAATGCTCCCAGTGGGAATCAGGTACACTATCCACGGTATAGTGCAATACATTCAGCTGTCTTTGCACTTATGCTTCTTACATCTCGGTTTTTTTCCCCTTTATTTTGCCAATTGTCTTTGCAATCATGCTTTTCACATCTCGGTTTTTCTTATCATTTTACCCATTGTTTTGCACCATGCTTTTTACATCTTAGTGTCCACATCATTCTATTCCCTTGGGGTTTTTCATCCGAAGGACTCGAACCTGCAGCCCCACGGTTTTTCCCCCGTAGAGTACAAGATATTACCCGGACCTCCCTAGTTTAGAATAGTAATAACAATATGCTATTGTCTTTATACCTAATTGTCTACAAAAATGACTCATCTCTTTGCACGAGTTACCTATATCTAAATATAGCTCCTACACTACGAGGTATCTGCCCCATTTGATAGTCTCCTCTCTCATTCTAGACATACCTTTGATCTATGACTTTGTAGCCTTTCTATAAAATCTCTCATTTCATTATATATTATTCTCTATTATAACTAGATTCATGTGTGTCTCATGGAACGGCACCGGGTTCAGGCATTCCCGGAAACAACGCTCTATGATCCGAGACTTGAGTCCTCGAAGTAGTCTTGCATCGAGATATACAGCGGTTGAAGTGTCGAAATGAAATTAGAAAAGCCATATATTCATTATCAAGTCAATGTCAGACATATCTGCCTGTCGTTTCTACTATAAGGAAGGAGTTGCCGGTTTCGGAACGTACAATCACGACCACTGGAAGCCTCTTGTTAAAACCAGTAACTGTCTATGCGACTTTGAGGCGCAGCGAAGGGGAGAAATGAGCATCAAATTTGCCCCCCACCCCCTTTCCCTACCGTAAGATCTAGAATCACGCCCTATTCCGTCCAAATCGCCTCCAAAACCGCATCCCTGCTCGACCACTATCCTCATTATAACCGGCCTCATGCCCTTCGTCTTCCCCGCTATCTTCATCAACTTCCACCGGCGGAACCCACTCATTAATCCATTTGTACCGAGGAATCTCTCCTAGTTTTGTGCTCCCGGAACTATGCGACAGGATTGATATTCTTCTGTCGAGCAAAGTATCGGGTCTGGTATGAGGAGGAACTTGTGCCTGCACTGCGGGTAGTTGATGTCGTGCTGGTACTGATATTGGCAGTTCCAAAGCTGGCGGAGAAGTTGGGACAGATGGTGCAGTACGAGGAGGCTGTGACCTTGACCTAGTTTGGTCCTCGCCTTCTGCAGGTTTTGGGCGGACATTCATCCGTCTGAGATGAATGCTGGTGGTAGAAGAGTTCTTTGAGCGAACCCAAACCGGATGGATTTCTTGCAAGTCCTTGACTCTTTTCGGATTCTTCGACCGCTTCGCCTTTGTGGCTGAAGCGTTGCTCTGTGTCTTATTCCCATTCTGCTTATGTGCCGCCGTCCTCGCACCTCCAGCTTGTTTTGCAGCGATGCCTTTCTGTCGATTCACCTGCCCTCCTACGCTCTCTCCCTGTATCTGAGGAGCATATCTCCTTCTTCCTCTCACCACCGCACCACCCTGTTCCACCGACGACTGTCCCCCAGCACTCAACGCCAACGAACTCATACTCTCCAATCTCACCCTAAACCCCTCGAGTTCCGTTACCGAATCCCTCACCGATCGTTCCGACAAGCTCATCAGTTCTCGAATCATATCCTCATTATCAACCCCATTATTCTTTCTCAACAGTGTCGAGATGATTTTCGTAAGTCCCGTGTTGAGAACAAGGAGGATGCGATTTAGGGATGTTTTTGCTCGTTCTTAAATTCTATCAATTGCCAGTCATTCCTTATTTTAGAAAGGGAGATACGCACCATCACCGCGTCTATATCCCTCTCCCAGTCTCTCCGAATTTGTCTTAAATATATGCTGTATCTCTCTCGGCGCACGCTGGAGGCGAAGTTGTACTTCCCGTTCCTCGTGGGTTTGTGGCAAAGTGACTGCAGAACCCGTCACAGGGCTTCGTTTATTCAATTTCTTCGAGCGTGAATGTGAATCGTTCTTGATGCGCTGGTACAGGTGTTTAGTAGACTCAAATGCTGACAAGAGAGATGTGACTATTGCCGACAGGTGGGTTGGATGTTCTTTCTTCGCTCGGGGAGAACGATGCTTTTGCGACATCGTTTACCTAGGCAATGTCTATCATATGCATCTATTTAGGTGGGTAACATTCCACTTTGAGGCATTGAATATTTGATCCGTAAACGAACGAAAGAATTAACTGGTACAACAACCACAACGCCTCAGCGTTATAGATGTATACGATCGACGATAAGAACACCAACGAGTTTCGTATCAACCACCTCGGGGATTTTTCTCAGAACAATAATTTATTTCATCTATCCCCTCTTTATCCACCGGGCTATGCCAGTCGATACATAAGCTTGACAGGCAAGACCTCAAAGCCTCAAGCATTCTGCATACCCCACCCAGTCCAGACCTATCGCCATCCAATGAGCAAAACCGGATCCCGAGGATTGACTCAGACTAGTGCTATCAAATGCATAACAACCGGTAGTTATCGTCGAATAGATATCGTTCAATAACCGCGATGTGCTTCTTAGCGTGTCATGAAACTGTCCAATGATGGGTTTGATATGGGCTTTGATAGAATCAACGCATATGTTAAAGAGAATGCGACATCAAGATTAATGATGTGTTAAGGCTAGGGTGCATAGTCAGCCAAGTTGCAAATGTAAAACATTCCACCTCATCATGAATTTTTAGTTCGGGGTAGAGCATAGTATTTGGCACCTCACGCACTTTGTTTTTCTCAAGCTTTCTCGAATAGTGAACATTGTCTTCAAGGAGCCACAGCTGGACATTCTTCAGACCTATTTATATAGGCTGAAGAACACCATGTTGCTTATGGTGAACGTAATATTTATGCGAGTCAATTGAGGAAAAGAGAGACCCAAATGTCCACGACAGACCAGAAGGAGCTTATGGAGATACTGATGCAACAGAAACGCGAGTCTGATCAGAAGCTCGAACGACTGACAAGGGCAATTCAAGCCGTCCAGCTGGACGAATTTTCAATGTCTGCGAAGAACACCGTCACTATAAACTCTGTTGGTGATGTCGATGATGCGCGAGCGATAGGTTTATCAGTGAATAACGAGTCTGACTCGCGATCTACCAGACTTGAAGGGCCTTCTTCCCTTTCTCAAGCAAAGGATGATCAATCTACCCAATTAAGTCTTGAAATCGAAATATATACAAGACTAATCAGAGACATATTAGAGAGAATACAAGTTACCGAGTCTCTTTTGACCATAGGTCGCCACAAAAGAATCAAACAGGCTATCTTGGCTGTACATGCAGGCGAACTGCGAATGTTCAATACCGAGAACGGAGAGAAAGCTGAGAAGCTTTGCGCACAATTTTGTCGGGGACCATTATTTGATCATATTTCGGATCAAAGACCCGATAAAGACTCGAAACACATCTTACCAGCCGCCGCAGCATTCGCTTCTGCAGTCCCAGAAGCCAATGAAGACGTTGGAGAGAAGAGCAGCAACATCGGTCCAGCCATCTATGAGGAACAGCAACAAAAGTTACACATCTCAACAACTCTCGACGCGCGAGAAACATTTTTCAATCCAAACGACTAAACTTTAGAATCGAGTAGCGGACTCAAGAAAAACAAAAAGAATAAGAAGAGCATTGAGTTTGCAGAATTCCCAGATGCTCTATCAGTAGAAGATATGCGCATCTTTGAACAGGAAATGAGCAAAGTATTCATATCATCACTCGATCCGAATAGCCAAGTTGAACTCTTCGATTTGAAGAATTTATTATCGAGTTGGACTACATTGAGAACAAATGAGGTTATAATCTAATAATTTTGAATTTTCCAAGCTCCTTGGAAAGCCTATGACACCCTTTTTGCGCATGGATTACAATCAGCTTTTGCAGAAGGTGTTGGCATTCAAGTCACGAAAGAGTTACCGGTCGTTCCTATACAACTCACTTCTGTAAAGATGCTAATTTTCAATACCTTATCCTAAGTTAGATGACGGATTTGATGGTTTTGATTTGCTGGAGCTGATGTTGGAGGGAATGAGGAGCTCTTTAATCCCTTTTCCGCCAATCTTTTTTCCCCAAAACTCTTCTTTAGTTATAGGCTGCAAATTTGTGGATCACTGACTATATGGTCTAGTATAAAAGCCCCCATAACCGCACCAAACCGTACAACATGTCTAGGGATAGCAGTAAAGTAAACTTGTCAGATATCAGAAGAAGTTCTATGGGGGTTCTACAAAGGAGAATACATGGAGTTTCAGCAGGAATCAATGATTTTCAGATTCGCTATCGACATTTCTGCCTAGGTTTCTACAAAAATAGAGACAGAAATGGTGAAGAAAGGAATAAAGAAGAAAAGAGAGAAGAACTTGGGGGAGGAAGAATTTATACTCAAAAACGACAGGCTGCGGTTAATGACTGAAAAGAGTATTATTTCAAAAAGACCTCATATATAAAAAACATGACTCAGGTATCAAAATAATTACAAAGACTTGCAAAGAAGAGAATACGACCACACCATCTCACACTCAAGAAATATCACAGCCAGACGAACAAGCATCACAATTCGCCATGCTCAGTCCTAGGCTTTCCACCCCCAAACCCACCTCTCCAATACCTCTCCCCATTACTTTTCCCTTCATTCTGACTTCTACACTGCGGATTCTCCCTATCCTCAACCGTGCCATACGGCCAAATCGGGATGTAGCACACTTCATTATACCCGCATTTTGTCTTGCATTCCTTCCACGTCGTCCAGGCCAGATACTCCATCAGCCCTAGAATACGAGACTTGGCAGCGTCGTAGTCTGTGTCATCAAGTACAGATCGGAGAGTAGAGCAGATCGTATACGAGACATCATACACAACCCGACCTGCCAGAGTAGACGCATTGGCAGACGCAGGAATAAACTGACCCGCGCACCGCACCGATTCCGTGACCGCGTCACGCTCTTGATCATCAATAAACGCCAGAAACACACTCGTCACATTCGACTGCAACCCCTGCAACGAATCCGCCTCTGCCGAGGCGAGATACGCCAGCAAATTTGAATATTTGAGCACAATCATATCCACCACACCCTGCCAATCAAACGATGCTTTTGCTGTTGCAGCGGCATCGAGGTCCATGACAAGGCTCGTCAAATCCGCACGAACAGGCTCGAGTTCTGCGGACTCGAAGTGATTCAGCCTCGGCATTCCGGGTTCGTCTGTCTGCGCAAACAGATCGAGTTCTTCATATGTATAAGCCGTAACGAAATTGTCATAATTGACTTTCACTCTACCGCCCCCAATCCCATCATACCGCGACGTAATCGACTTATAGAAATACGTGTTCCCTCCAAACCCACCACCTCGTCCTCCTCCACGACCAGGCCTCTCTATAGGCGACTCCTCACGATGCACAGCACTGATCCTTACAAGATCCAAATCACGCTCAAAATCGCATAGAATGATCTCAAACCCTGCTTCAGCTCTTATTATGCCGTCGATGCGATCATTCCAGTCATTTTGAGCAATGGAGCAGCCTTGTAAGGCGCGTTGCATTTCGCCTGGTGGACCGCCGGGGCCTTTTCTTTTGTCTGGATCTTCTGCTTCGGTGGGAAGGGTGGCTGAGGTGAGGTTGTCACGGAGGAAGATTCTGTCGCTGGAGTCAAGGGTGCCCATGTCCGTTTTGCCGGCTGAGAGGCCGTCGATGTATAGCAGTCGTAGATCTTTGGCGGTGGTGTACGTGTGTAGATATCCATATTGATCTTCTTCGCTTTCATCTGCGAAGAAGTCTTGAGGGGGTGCCATATCAAAAGCAGGAGGCGGCGGACTACCATCCCCAGGAAAACCCCCTGGACCATCAGGGCCTCCTGGAGGCCTCCTGCCCCCCGGTGGCCCAGCCCTCGCAAAATTCAGCGCATGCTCCGGCTCAAACGCCAACCACTCTGTCCCATTTACTCTATACGCCGATCTGGTACCATGATAAAACTGAGTTCCTGCAGGCACGCTCGCCAGAAAGAAGGACATGCCGTTGTGGTTCCAGGCGGAGCCCCATTGGCGCATTGATGAGTGCAGGGAGTTGAAGATGTGGTTTGCATTGCGAACTTTACCGGAGGTCGATGTATGTGGGCTTTGATAAGAGGGATTGGCTGGTGCTGGGGACGAGGAGGTGAGAAGCGCGAGGCTCAGGACAAGGCCTGCCGGGAGATACATGCTGTTTGCTGGTGTGCTCTGATAAGTCTCTGGTTGTAAATGGATGAAGATTTGTTGTTGTAGGAGAGATGAGAATGAAAGTGAATGAGACGAGGGAGACGACGATAGATCAGATCTTATCAATCTACATACAAATTCTGAGCGGGCCGCGTGGCCTGTGGGGCATCAGCAACAAAACATCGAGATTGGACATCACGAGAATCACAATGAAGATCAACTCAACGACCCGATATGAACAAATATGTATATTAGTATTAAATAAGTATCTGCATAGCCAACATGTAACATCGTGTCGTCACTCGTCATACATAACTCTAAACTCGCACCACCCATTATATACATGCGACAATACCACCTGTATGTTAATAATGATTCTGATAAACATCCTTATATGTATCGCCCACCTTTCTATCAACCTCCTCATCAAAAACATTGATTTCAGTCGAAGCAAACTTGCGCGCACTAACCCCCTTCTCAAACAACGCATCCAACTCCGCGAATGTGCGACCACTGGGCTCCGGAACACGGAAATAAGTGTACACAATACACAGGAAACACAATCCAGCCCAGAAAAAGCCAGCGTAGTTGGACCAGTTCCAGGCTGTGGGGTTCAGCATGTAAGGGGTCAAGACGCCGGTTATGATGCCGACGATGTTGTACAGGTTGCGCGCCAGGACGACTGACTTGATTTGTAGGCGGCGTGTGGATAGTTCAGCTACTAAAGAGTAACAGACGGTGCCGACAGAGATCTGGTAGAAAAGAGCCCAGACAATCATCATCGAGCCTGTGGCGAGTGCGCCTTGAGTGCGATGGGACTCGGGAACAAGGCCCAAAAACCCCATGACGAACAACATCGAAAACAGACCACACAGGCCGAAGAGATATAGAGATCGTCGACCAACACCCATAGCCATCAAACCCCACGCACCAAACACACCCACAATATTGATCGCGTACTGTCCCAACGCAAACGAGTACGAATCCGACGAACTCAGACCCGCCTGCTCCAGGAAATAAGTCGAATAATTCGAGAACGAGTTCCCGCTCAGATTCTGGATTGCCCAGACCATGCACACAATCTCCGTGCGACGGCGGTCGGTGCCTTTGAAACAGTCCCAGTAACTCGAGCCAGATGTAATCTTCTCCTCTAGCGCAGTGGTGTGCACCATCATAGCAATCGTTTCGTTTGCGTCAAAGTCGGTCTCTCTGTTGAGACTTGTCAAGCGGAGAAGCGACTTTTTGGCGTCTTCGACGCGACCCTTGCGAACAAGCCACCAGGGTGATTCGGGCGCGAACCAGACACCGATAAAAAGAGGCAAAGGCCACATCCATTGCAGGGCGTAGGGGATACGGTACGCCCATTGATCGTGATCGCCGCGGTTCAACATCGCCTTGATCACGCCGACGCCAATTACCTGGCCGATTCCCCAGCATACGTTGACGTAGCATGTCAGATAGCTGCGGAGGGGAACGGGGCAGACCTCGGATGCATAAGTCACGGTCAAGGTCTGGAAAACACCCCAGGGGATACCGCAGAGAATCTCGGCGGCGAGCAAAGTCTGCACATTCTGAGCCGTGAAGAAGATCGCCGTGAATGCAGCGAGCATGACCAGACAGGACATGACGGTGTATCTGTACCCGAATCGCTCCGAGACATATCCATTTATGAACAAGCCAATAATCTCTCCCACAGCCGCACCATTACTCAAGCCCGATTGCCACTACAACCGTCAGCCCCTCTCTTGAAAAAGTGAATTGCAAGAAGAAAACATACCCGAGCGGGAATCTGATATGTCCCATCACTCCCCAACTCTCCATACTTTTGATTGAAAGCCGGAAACCCATACAAATTCCCCACAAGACTAATATCGTACCCTTCCATGACAATACACGATGAAATCACTATACTCCAAAACACGGCTTTGGGGTATAGTCTGATGCCCTGCAGCAAAGTCATTTTGTGCTCCTTTTCTGTGGCGGCTTTGGCGTCTGCAATGAGACGGTCCATGGAGGTGGGTTTTTCGAGGTTGACATTGTTGTCGCTGTTGACGTTGTCGGTGAGGACGGGTTCATCGTGAGGGGTGGGTTTGTTGAAGTGTTCGACTACTACTTCCTCCTTGTTGGTGGCCATGGTGCGTCTCTTCTGAGTCTCTTGTAGAGACTGATTTCACACAGACAGAGAGGGATGGAGGAGAAAGAAAAGAAAAGCCGGGGACGGGAGGAAAACCTGGGCTATAAATGCGGGCGACTCGTCGCGAGTGGGGATTGTCGTGCTCACTGCTCACGTCCGGAAACCGGGTGTCCGTATAGTCAAAACAATCAAGACGAATCAATTGATCGATAGCAACAAACTAGTCAGAGTAGTGTAGCATTGCGCTCGAGCGGGTCGGTTGGAGTCGTCTCGAGTAAAGAGTTTCTTTCGCATCTGCGCGGTGCGGAGCTTGTCGCAAACAGTGCGGAGTGGGGACCGGCGCTGGGCCGATATTTTCAGAATTTTTTCTCTGCACTAATTTATCCGAGTTGAGGTCTATTAGGCGTTGATTTCCAGGAGAAACTTGTTTAATCTACTTTCCGGCGTCTATTCCGGTCGTTCTCCTCGGTGAAAAACCCAAGAATCGTAATTACGTTCATGCTCAACTTGATCAGAAGAGCTGCATGCGGGGCCACGACGGAAAACGAGGCTGTAGAAATGAATAGAATCACTAGATAAGTCAATTGCCGACCCTCGCAATACGAGACTTAGTGCAGCTCCTCCAAGTAGCCTCATGTCAATGCTCTGCAAGTACAGTACCAACAGAAGTAGCCTTGGCCTGCAAAAGGGGGACTGGAAACCCTCTCTCGCTTATCTAGCCTGTCCCTAAACAGCTAGCGCCGTTCCTTGGCCTCTCTCTCGGATTCTGGTCGCATATCATCGCAGGCTCACGAGGCCATCGGTCAATATCACAGACTCGAAACGACAGATTGAAACCCCACGGGGTACAAGGGACAAGGGACTAGGTCATGCCACACGAAAATAAGCATAAATCACTGATCAGCCCCTTGCGCAGTCCAGCCAATCGAGGCAGAGAGGTTTGGCTGTGTTACGGAAAGCGGTTTCCGACAGGCGAATGCGATTCCTGCATTGCAAAGAGGCAGTCCACTTCCCCGGATTTTCGGACAGTGATTTCCAGGAGAGACATCCTGAGACGGGAAATGGACTTGAAAAATCGGCTACTGCTAATTGATCGTATGTATTTCGGCTGAGATTGTGGTGAATACATACATAGCAGTGGTGGTGAGGTGACTGAGATCGGTCGGAAGTACTATATGCCGGATTGTCTATCATCAAGTATCTAGCTACTATATCGTACATACATCGTATTATGCAAAGGGTATCTCAAAAACACACAACAACATCTTCGACACGTCACGACGAACCCAAATCAATAACCACACTCAAATCATTGTCCATCCAATCGATCGTCCCCGCCGACAACTGCGCGATCGTCCATTCCCCGTCGTTGTCCGCCGTCACCAGCCCTTCCGGCAACCACACCTGGATTTTCCAGCTTGATGTGTCGACATTCCCATTCTCGTCGCATGTTGATGCCGGTAGTTGACCCGACCAGCGGTGCGCAATCAGGCTACGGACGCTGGCGAGATCGGGGCATTGTTCAGCTGTAACGTCGAGACGGGGCACGACGCGTTTGCTGTCGTGGATGACATTCAAGCGAAGGGTAATGGGCGAGGTGTCGTGCTGGTCTTGGTTGGTGACTGTACCGTAGGCAGGCTGGTGCATGGCCGACAGGAACGGGGCGTGTTCGGTTGTTTGGGCTTGCTCGGGTTCTCTGCCGCCGGTTTCTTGCTTGTGGATGAGGCTCTCTTTGATAATTCGATCCAGGTCGCGAGTAACAGAGTTTGCACTATTCAAGGAAATCAGTATTCATTAGATGCCCCAAGGAGGAAGATGAAAACTTACAACTCAGTTCGAGCTGGAGCAGTGGCGCTACCGCCAATACGCCAATCGAGCTGAGAAATCTCGTTCGATGTCAAAATTTGATTCAGATGGTAAGCTTCACACTGCGGTGCACAATCTGTCGGATTTCCATCGTGAACCACTTTCCAATGGCTGTCCACCGCTGCAACGAGTCCCCACCAGTCCGGTTGCTGCAATCCAGACACTCCCCATAACGTGTCTAGCTGGTAGTTTTGGTTGTACATGTTGTATGTTTGCGAGACTGCATTCCATTCCGTTGGATATCCATCCAGGACAAGCGGCGACAGGTTTATACCCAGTTGTTGTTCATTACCCGAAAAGTCATGGTGCGGTATGGGAGGAGGCGGCGGTACGTAATGACTTTGTGCATGCTGATGGTCGTGTTGATGATCATTTTGCTGGATTGAAGGTTGTCCCTGCTCATGTTGTGGTTGTGGCTGCACCCCCTGGTCTGGTGTATGTTCTGTAGAGTCCGCAGTCTGCATGATTTCTTCCGTTTTTCTTCGCTTACGGTCATCGGGTTGAGTACCAGCACCACCCTTCCGTGTCTCAATTGCATACTGTCTCTGCCGTTCATTCGTGACCATGCGACGAAGTAGCGGAATGACAAGCGATATGATTTTGTGTTGATCGCGCGGCCAGATATACTGTCTTGGAGGCATTCCTTCATTGACAACATTTTCGCCAAAGTATCGTTCACCGTATCCTTCCGTCTCGAGAAAGTCGCGCACGCAGTTCCACAACCGCAACTTGACCAATTCGGTATCGCCCTTTCCGCGCTGGCCCACGCAGTCCCGTCGATCGGGGTGAGCATCATCCAACATGTAATTCTTTGCCGCCGCCTGTAAGTGCAAGAAATTCTCCGGCGATAGTTCGAGCGAAGCATACAGCCGGGACATTGGTGGCCGAGTGTATTTCTTATTGTTGGACGGCTGTCTAAACAGAGCAGCTGCAGAATGAACCCCAGCAGCCCGCGCATCCGTCAGCTGCGATTGCGACCGTGCTAACTCACCGAATTCACTTCCATCAAACACTTGTTGCTGCGTCTGTTGTTGATGCTGCTCGTTCTGGTCCTCTATCCCCGCCAACGCCGGATCGAGTGCTTCATCTCCTCTCTTGCGCTTTTTTGAGACCGCGCGCGACAACCCCTGCGCAGTCTGCCCATTCGCTATCGATGCGCGATTCTGTCGTCCGGTACCTGCAGGAGAGCCGAGGGTTCCGAAAGCGCTCTCATCAAATCCATCATCTGGTAAATGTAGGTCCGACGAGTAATTTTCGAGATGGTGATGGCCTGCGGCAGCAGCGGCTGCAGCAGCCGTTGCCCAGTCGGAAGAATCGGCCTGGCCTGCTGCTGCTGTAGCTGCTTGGACGAGGCCCGCCAATTGATTCTCGCTTGTAGTGTAGTTGATGTGGTCGATATGCGCGTTCGCGGCGGTATGGAAGTCGGGTTGCTGCTGTTGCGGCTGAGAGTTTGTATTCGAAGCCATTTTCAGCTGACCGAATCAGTGTAATTGCGCGAGTGCGAGTTTGACAATCAGAAGAACAAAGCCGTAAATTGTTCAAAAGTAGCTCGACTCGCAATGCGCAAACTGCTCCGTACGTCGCAACAACGTATCGCGTCGTCGCGACCGTGCCGTACTCTAACAATCAAGGCAGAAATCGCCTCTTCACGAGAACAAGCTCGACGAGCTCGTCCTGAGACGAAAACTGACTTGAGTCCGTCAAAAAGACAATGCTATTCACGAATCGGGATGGAAGCTAAGCTAAGTGGCCGATGAGGATGATGCGCTGTTTGTTTCGTTTGACAAAAGACTTTTGGAGTGTTTGAAGGTTGAGCAGACAGTGCAAACTCTGCCGGCGCGTCACGTGATTTAGGCCTGACAAATATGGCATTCAACTTTCAACCACTTTCAACGGACGCATCCTTCCATCCACACATACCACGAGGTATACCTCTATATTCACTCGGCAGGTTGTCTGCCTTGTCAGCTTGATAATCTGACATACTGCATATGCTTTATTGAAAGAGCACTACAGCCATCCCAAGCCATGGGAACACATTCATTGCAAGTATACGAAACTTCTCCGATAGCAAATCACTAGAGACGCACATAGGGTGAAGGCTTACGAATACGTTCTTACAATAGCCGTCGACCTTCCTGTTAGGGTCCTCAACTCATATTCACATATTAAATTGTCAGAAAACATTGTGATATATTCCGTGTCGGATTAGCCGAAACCTGGGGAAAGCTCCCGGCATATCCGGGACATATTGTTAATGATGCATCATATTGAAAGATTCAAAAGCCGACGAGCATGTGTGATTGCCGACGATGCAAGATCCCAGAGCTTGAAATTAGACGGTGCATTCCATTTCCCTAATCTATTCTGTAAACTATAACTTTCATTGCTTCAATCCGCCAGTTTCCTGTGAACTTGCTCAATGCTCAAGCCACAGCCAACAGCCACCCGTGAGCTCGTCTCATTAGATGGCATATGGAATTTTGCACTTGGGTCTCACGACGACAAGATAGATATTGCTTGCACGCAACCTCTCAGTCCTGAGCTACAAGTCCCCGTGCCAGCTAGTTATAACGACATCTTCGTCGACCCTAAGATCCGCGACCATGTGGGATGGGTGTACTACCAGCGCGCTGTACGAGTACCCCGAGGCTGGCATGGGGAAAAGTACTTTATCCGCGTCGATGCAGCCACCCATCACGGCCGCGTATTCGTCAACTCAAATTTCGTCACGGAGCATAGCGGTGGCTATACCCCCTTTGAGGCGGATATAACTCATCTTGTGGCTGCAGGAGAAGAGTTTTGTTTGACTATTGCAGTTAGCAATGTACTCACAATGGATACGATTCCGCCGGGGAGAGTTGAGACGTTGGCGAATGGAAAACGGAAACAGCAGTATCAGCATGATTTTTATAATTATGCTGGTCTTGCACGATCGGTCTGGCTTTATTGTGTCCCTCAAGTTTATATTCGGGATGTAACGGTTGTCACTGATCTTGCTGATACATCTGGGACTACTGGTATAGTGGAATATCAAGTCATTACTAGTGAAACACTACCTCACGCGCGAATTCGTGTATCCTTATTTGATGAGGAAGGTCATATCGTCGCCCAGAGCAGCGGGCCGCAAAACCGGTTGCAAGTAGAGTCCGCTCACCTATGGCAACCCGGCGCAGCCTACCTATATCAGCTTCAAATAGAGCTCTTGCACGACGATAGTTGCGACAAGGTACTCGACATCTACACCATACCCACCGGAATCCGCTCCATCAAAGTCTCCGGGATGCAGTTCCTTCTCAACGGCACACCATTTTACTTCACCGGATTCGGCAAACACGAAGACAGCGCAATCCGCGGCAAAGGGTACGATCCAGCATACATGGTCCATGATTTCCAGCTCATGAAATGGCTCGGAGCCAACTCCTTCCGCACATCGCATTACCCCTACGCTGAAGAAGTGCTAGAATATGCTGACAGGCATGGAATTGTGGTGATTGATGAAACGGCTGCTGTGGGTTTGAATCTTGCTATTGTTGCCGGTATCCATGGCACCAAGGCGCCTCCAACGTTTTCGCCAGAGACGATCAATGATAAAACCCAGGATGCTCATAAACAGGCGCTAAAGGAGCTTATAGCCCGCGACAAGAACCATCCCTGTGTGGTTCTCTGGATGATCGCAAACGAGCCTGCATCCGGCGAAGAAGGAGCTATAAAATACTTTGAGCCCTTGGTCAAACTGACCCGAGAACTTGATCCCAGCCGTCCCATTTGCTTTGCTAATATGGCCTTCAATCCGGTAAACAGAGATCTAATATCTGACATGTTCGATGTTCTCTGTCTCAACCGCTACTTTGGCTGGTACAAGCACACCGGCGACCTAGACATGGCCGAAGAAGCTCTACACGACGAACTTTCCGGCTGGCAACGCAAATTCGACAAACCGATAATCATCACGGAATATGGCGCGGACAGTCTAGCGGGCTTGCACGCAGTTATGGACGTCCCCTGGAGCGAAGAATATCAATCTCGTATGCTGGAGATGTGCCATCGCGTTCATGATCGTGTAGAGGCGGTGATTGGAGAACACGTATGGAATTTTGCAGATTTCCAGACGACGTCACAGATCTTTAGGGTTGATGGGAATAAGAAAGGTGTTTTTACAAGGGATCGGAAACCCAAGGCTGCTGCTCGTGTGTTACGAGAGCGCTGGAACAAGGCATACTGATATTGCACTCTTGATTCCTTACTCTAAATGATATCCTTCGATATATTCCATTCAATGTATGATACGAAATTGATTGATAGCTAACATATATAATCATCAAGACTGGCTGAGCTATCAAGTTGACGTCACGTCCATCGGCTCTCTCTCCTATCTTGTCTGCAGTGATGAGGTCGTGTCTTGCATCCGTCCCTACAACAGCAATGGGGAGCCGTAAGCCATTTCTCGAAGCCTCTGTTGCCGCAAGCGTGAAACAGCTCCTCCCATGTGAGTTCGGGATGGATTCTGCAAATCGGATTATATAAATTCAGTCTTATCACGCAGAATTACTATTGAAAATGGAAGTAGTTTTCTTCGGATGGAAAGCGTAATATAGAACCACACATGGCTGAACTATAAATGAATCATGAAGGTGGAATGGCCGAGTGGTCTAAGGCGGTAGATTTAAGTAGTGATTCATCTCAAAGGACTACAAACGCCCTTTTTGTCAAAGTCACGAACTCCCTACTCTCGAAAGAGGCACGTGTTCGAACCACGTTTCCACCATCAAACTTTTTTTTCCAGACCCAACATAGATGGGTTACATTCATTCTCTACTTCGGTATTGCTACCAATGTTTTTTTTTTTTTGTGTTTGTTTGTGATAGTCGGACAAACGGGTCTGGTGGCATGGGCAGATTAAAGCACCAATCTTTGCCACAGGATCACCACATAAATACACAAAGAGGTAGGTGTTGGATGGAAGGGTTTCTACCAAGCTGAATGGCATTTTCGCATGAAGCATCTGTCTTCTGTCATATTATCATTCTGTGACCAACCCGGATACACTGAACAAAGACGTCTTGCTGCAATTTTGGCGCTTGGGGATACGCGAATTTGAGCGTGAAATTGACGAACACCTCTGATATGAACCTTTTGGCAATCTAAGACTTTAAGGGAGTGCAGGCTGGTAAACCCTTCTTATACATACATATCAAGGAACCAGTCTCGAGCAGTGCCACAGAATCGGGCAGTCAATGACGAGCAAGGAATTTGTACAAACCTGAACTAGTCGTCCTCGGAAATCAACAAATGTAGCGGCAGAGAACGCCTCGAACGGGTAGATTGTTATGTAGGTCAACAGCAAGACATTGAAGTTTTACATGTATCTATCCAATTTTCATATATCGTTAAAGTTCCAAAGTTCTGATATCGCAATGAGTTAAAAGAAAGAAACCCACGCTCATCACCTGGCGTAGGACAACAGTGGTAGAAGAATATATACGTCTCATTTCACATGCATACATACATACATATAGCCAGCATTAATGAATAATAAATCTATAAAACATGAGAATGATGCCCATCCTTCGGACATAAAAAGGCTCTCTTCTGCGCGAAAAAACAGGTCGTATATACACGACAGTTCTTTTTTATTGCGATGTTGATATAACCGATCAACGTTATTCGTCATATCAAACCAACCAGATCATTTCGAGATATTCGTCCAGAAAAGAAAATCTCTATATTACATTCTTTGTGTCATCGTATTACGTCGAGTCCAAAGATCATATTGTTTTGTTGTATATTCAAAACGCATGCCGCCCGCGGTGAGGGTCGTTTCTTGCATTCTGCTTTTCCTTTTGCCCGTACCTTCTAGGTAGTGTAGTTGGAAAGACACAATTTTTAGCGTTTGATTTTAGTGATGCTTCAAGCCGGCTTTGTCGCTGTTGTTCCTGGGTTCGCCAAAGTTGCGGTAAACATGGTCCCTTGCAGCGGACTTGTCTTTTTTGATTGTCAAACAGTTGATGTTTAGGAAAGTGGTGATTCTGTTAATCACCAAGAAAGCCCAGTGCATGTAGATGACAAAGGCGTAGACGAGGTAAAAACGGAGATACCAGAGCTCAAATCCGGCGCTGACCGCTGGGAATCCAAGATAAGGCAAGTTTGCAAGGATGGCACCACCAATCAGTGGAACTAGCATTGAGGTCCAGTAGGGAAATGGTTGTCTGATCAGATGAGCAAGGATGATCTTGGTGGTCATGCGGCCGAAGACGAAAGACATAACAATGCAGAAGAGGACCAAATGATTGTTGGCTAGTAAGGTCGAATAAGGAGACCACAGCCAACCCATCACTGAGACTGTAAAGATGACAATCGATGTCCATTCCATGAAAACAGGCAATACTGGCAAACTTTGACGACGACGAGCCTGAACGACATTGTAAACACATGCCGGCAAATGTGCGACCATGAACGACCCAAACACAATGAGTACCCAGTAGTCCAAATATGTATGAGTTCCAAATATTTCCTTGTGGCCAAACGTATCCGCAACTTGGCCGCGCCACATCTGGGGTCCGTATATTCCGGAAAGAACCATGATTATGACCGCAATAATCAATCCCTCGGTAGGCCCATTGAAGTATCCGAGATATAGTGTATGCGTATGATATGTCTCCCACGTCGAGAAAAACATTGGCAAGCAAGGGATCAGAGCCGTGAAAGCGCCGAGCTGTGTCGAACCAAGACCCATTGCAGCGGTGTGAAGCACGCTGGCAAGGGTGCAGTTAAGAGAGTCGATTCCATGATCAAACAGCTCTCCCAGTCCACTCGATGTGCCCGTACGACGGGCCTGTTTTCCATCAATGTTGTCAAACGTCGAGTACATCCATATTCCAAGCGCGAAACTGTAGTATACCCAGGTCGGCCCCGGTCCGACTAGGTCTGGCACAAAGATTGTAACGATCGCAACGTTTGCAATGATGAAGAAGAACCCTAACAGGGTGACCATATTAGGTGCGATGGATAATGGCAAAAGCTCGACAGCAGCATTCCACTAATTCCGACAGATCTGGTCAGTTTCGTCTGCTCCTCGAGAGCCAAAACGGGTAAAAGCGAACGTACATAATGCCTGAGAATGTAATTTGAGATATATGACTTGTCCACGCTGGAATATTTGTAGGTTTTGAGGGGAAGCAAAGCTTCATCGGAGAGCGAGTCCTGCGCCGCTATTTTTTGGGACATGGTCAGTCGCGATCGTCAAGCTTGATCAGGAACTTTGCAATTGAAGCGGAAGACGAACCTTGCGCCATCTTGAATAATCCAGGCATGATGGGCTAGATCTGATGAAACAGTAATAATGGAAAAAGGCCTACAGTGGCGGTGTGTAAAAATATGGTATGGCCAGGTTCAATTCATCGCATTCGGGAGATTGACTGCAGGAAAATAAACTGTGTACAATGAGTGGAGGCAGGGCGGGATAAAGCCTCCAACAAAGCTTCAGAAAATAATGATTAAAAAAATAATACGTCGCTTGAAGATGATGTAAAGAGTCGCAGAACAATAGGAAATGACTCAAAGGGAAGCTCAGGGGTCAGGACTGAGATTGAAGAATTGCATTGTGCCTGAGTGACTGATGGATCCAACTTGGGGAGCCTAGGCAGGAAGAGGAAGGAAGCAGCTGAAAGCCTGGACGCCAAGACGCCGAGACTTGGAGCCTCAGGCTGGCGGCTGCCCGGCACCCCGGCACGTCGGCATCGGAACGGAGGTTTTTCCGTTTCCCTCACGTGCTTTCACCCTGGTTTTTCAGGCAGCAAGACTTAATCGCGGTCAGATGATGGTCCGTGCTTTCCTTGCGATGATGGACGATTTCCCAGTTGGTCTAGCCTGGACTCTGGCAAGCTCCTTCCTATTCATGATTCTGTTCAACAATAGCCACTAATTCTTCAGCAACCCAGCTTCATAGTCATTCTTTTCTTTCTTCGCTCTTTGAACGAACAATTACTACATGACCGCCTAACCCCGCTAAACAGCAACCCCTTCATCCACCGTTCAGCGCTCCCTTAATCCTGCTCCGCCGTCATCGCCACGGACTACGTCGCTCTATTCTACGACACTCTTTCTCGAGATACACGTCGCATTTGCGTTCAGCACATCCTCACCTACAGCTCATCGCAAGCATCAGTTTCTGTCACTTGGGGAGGTGACCGTGGGGGTTTTCTCTGTACATGGACATGAAGGTGGTTTGATTGGGCTTGCGCGCATAGCGCCATAGCAGCAAAAATTGCTTCCTCAAGATGCCAGGCATCGTCGAAACTCCCACGGCTACCAGCGCGGCGCCAGCCTGGTCTTCGCGAGACTTCACCGTCGCTCATCAGAGACTGGAACTAGAGGTCGACTTTGCTACGAAAAGTTTGAAGGGAAAGACCGAAATTACCATTCATCCGCATCATAGAGAGTTCCGGGTCATCAAGCTCAATTTTCGCCAGGGCCAAATCAAACGGTTGAATGTTAATGGCAAAGTAGTATCGGCATTCAAGTACACGGATACCCATTCGGCTCTGAACCTATACGGCGTTCAATATCACCAGCGGCTCTCTGACAGAATCGAAAGTCTGCTCAACCCGCAGACAGAACCCGAGCTTGTCATTACTTTACCGAAAACTCTGAAAATCGAAGAGCTAGATCCATTTTCTGTTGATGCCCAAGATCGACTGGCTCTCCGATCCTCTATTGCAAACGCAGATGACGGCGATGGTCCGAGTCTGAAACCAGCCGAAACTTCCCTACCCCGGTACACTGCGCTCACAGTCAACATTGAGTTTACGGTAGACAACATTCGGGAAGGGCTGCAGTTTGTTGGGGTCGATAGTGGCGATAGGCGATATCCGCATGCCTACACAACAAATTCCACTGGGTCTGGTGCTGGTAGCTGTCTTTTCCCGTGTGTCGACGATCCAATAGTACGATGTCCGTGGGACGTGACTATCAAGTGTCCTTGCTCTTTGAACGCCATCTTTGAACGCAAGGGGTTGGAAACATGGAAAAGTCTTGGAACGAACAAGAATCGGCCGGGTAATCTTTCTGATGATGACAGCACACTGGACATGACTGTTGTCTGCTCAGGCGATACGACTGATGAAATCGTGGATCCCAAGGACTCATCTAAAAAGAGTGTTTCCTTTTCGAGCATCGCGAACATCTCCGCTCAGCAGATTGGTTTTGCTGTAGGGCCATTCGAGCACGTCAATTTATCACAATTTCGCGAAAGTGATCAAGATGATCAGCTTGGTGACAATGCAGTTCCCGTGGATGCATATTGCCTTCCGGGCAGGGCAAATGAAGTCAAGAATACGTGTTTTCCAATGGCGAAAGCTATCGACTACTTTTCGGTGACATACGGCTCGTATCCCTACTCGGGCTTCAATCTCTGTTTTGTGGACGACGCGGCTTGCGACACGGCTTCAACAGCGTCTCTTTCAATATGTAGCAACCGCCTGCTATTTCCTGAGAATATTATCGATCCTATCTATGACTCGACAAGAAGTCTGGTTCACGCTCTAGCTTCTCAGTGGATAGGCGTGAGTCTCATCCCAAGAGATGTTACGGATACCTGGGTTACGGTTGGTATGGCCTATTACATAACCGATACATTTATGAAAAAGCTATGCGGAAACAACGAATATCGTTTTCGCATCAAACAAATGTCGGATCAGGTCTGTGACCTCGATTTCGAACGACCTTCCATCCATGACATGGGAGTTATCTTGAAACTTGATCCATCCGAAATGGAATTCGTTGCCTTGAAAGCTCCTCTGGTGCTCTTTATTCTTGAGCGGCGCCTTTTCAAGGCCAGCGGGAAGCCGACTGTGTCACGAATCATCAGTCGTCTACTTCTCAATAACCGTATGGGAGACCTGACGAATGGAGCTGTGAGCACCACCGGATTTATCAAGCTGTGTGAAAAGTTTGGACATTGCAAATTGGAAGTGTTCTTTCAGCAGTGGGTCTTCGGTGCCGGTTGCCCTCGATTCACGGCTTCTCAACGTTTTAACAAGAAGAAATTGGTTGTGGAGATTATGATTAAACAGTCACAGGGAGATCCACAGCCACCTAGAAACCTCGAAAAATCATCATTCTTACGAGATATGAAGGAAGAGATTCGCAGCGTTTACGCAGCGCCCGTTCAGCCTGTCTTTACCGGATCAATGACGATACGGATCCACGAGGCTGATGGCACTCCATATGAACATATCGTTGAGATAAAAGAGGCTATCACTAAGTTTGAGGTACCATACAACACCAAATACAAGAGGCTCAAACGAAACAAACGGCAAAAAGAACGTGTGACGCAAAATACAGGAGGTGATTCCACTGCAGAAGCACAAGACGACGTTCTTCTCTACTGTCTTGGCGATGTTCTCCAGACTGAGGACGACATGCAGGAATGGAGATTGTCAGATTGGAGCAAAGAGGAGGAAGAGCGCATGGGTCAAGAGTCCTATGAGTGGATTAGGATGGATGCCGACTTCGAATGGATTTGCAGGATGTCCTTGGGCATGCCAGGTTACATGTATTTGTCGCAGTTGCAACAAGATCGGGATGTTGTTGCGCAACTAGAGGTAAGCCAGGCTTCCAAGGTTCTCGAGCCGTGTACTGATGTTACAATGTGCAGTCCATGCAATACATGGCCATTCAAAAAGCCCATCCTCTGATATCTACGATATTCGTCCGAACGCTGATGGACAAGCGATATTTTCACGGCATCCGCACCGCAGCTGCTAATGCACTAGTAAAACACGCAAAGGAGGAGCTTGACTGGCTAGGTCTTTACCATCTTGAGAGAGCATTTCAAGAATTATTCTGTCTTCCAGGGACTCACGTGACGCGTGACAATGATTTCTCTGACCAAGCATCTTACATACTTCAAAAAGTGATTCCTGAAGCAATATCACGCGTTCGTGATAACAATGGAAAGACGCCGCTTAGAGTAAAGCGTTTCATCTTCGACAAGCTCAGATTTAGCGACAATTCAAATAACGAGGTATGTCACGTTGTATCGAACCATCTCTTTTCCGGGATAGATCTGCTAATCACTATGAGTAATTTAGTACTCTGACAACTTTTACATTGCCTCTCTCATGACGTCCTTAGTCAATGCTATGGAAGGCAGCCAAGCAGAATCATCATCTTTGAACGAGATGGAATTTGACATGGAAAAGGAGCTCGAACGCCAAGCAGAAGAGAAGCTCGAGCGAGACGTTATCACGGAAATCGATAGATATAGGCGCATGGACGAATGGTCCAGTTCTTTTCAGAATATTTACTCAAGGACTGCCTTGCACTGCCAATTGAAACTCACGAAAGCCAAGATTATGGACCTTGATTTGATTCACTTTCTACAATATACCCGACCTGGAACTTTTGATATGCTGCGAATGGAGGCATTTGACTGTCTGGTGGAGCTTGACATCTTCAAAACGCCCGAACTCCTCAAATGGTTCATATTCAATATGTCCTCAGATAGCTCAGCGTGGATCCGTCATCGACTCCATTGTCTGTTCGGTAGGGCGCTTGCTTCTGTCGCTTTTGGAAGCGACGAACCTCTGAATGAGCCTACAAAGAGCGAGGGCTTGATTATCGAACAAGAATCTACGACCGATGTACGTCGAGCGGATCTAGCCAGGAAACAAACCATGTCTGGAGCTTTGGAGGCACTCAAACAAGAGTTGGGACAAAATGTCACATTGAAGGAGGCTCTATGGGCTGCAAGCAATTCCTCATGCATAGACACTATGGAGTTATCCAACTTTGCCGATCTGTGCCGAGTTCTCTATGATGCAAAAGTTTCTGTTCCTGTGAGGTTGAAGTACCCTCGGTACTGGAAATGCCAGCGCGTCGAACGTGTAAGTGAATCCAATTATTTGAAGTCATCGATCTCGATCATTATACTGATTATTCTCAGGGTTTGATGCGATTCTACAAATCCGAGAGGTTCCGTGTATCCCTCACTCCTTCCAAAGACGCCACCGGAGCCGCAGCAGCAGTCGCAGGCGCAAAACGCAAACGCGAAGAACAGTCCATGCCACCCCCCGGTCCTCGCATCACTTTCAAACAATCCAAATCCAGTCTTGACATTCATCAAAACATCAACAACATCCCTCCTGCCCCAACTCCTGCAGCTCCTCCTCCTCCTCCTCCACCAGCGTCTATTTCCACTCCTCAATCCGAACAACCGCGCAAACTGACCAAATTACGTATCCCCAACTTCATCGCTATGCCTCCTCCTGCTCCAGTAACACAATCCCCCGCCACGACTCCATCAACTCCCGGTGGGTTCAAATTGAAACTCAAGTTTGGCGCTCAAAAATGAAGAATCCATTGAGGTTACTTACCTTTCTTTATCCAATCTATTCACATGATTTATTCTTACAATGTCCTCTTCCTTCCTCCATCTTGGTAGCGTTTTAGCAGCATTGTCGTTGTCGTCCGTTATCATTTCTAGCAAGTGCTACGCTGCGCATGGGATTAGATTGTTGTAGTGCAGACATTTAGTTGCATCAGTGATTACCAAAATCAGAACTATACATATTATTCGAAACGTTACCTGATTATTAACGAACTTGCATAGTTTAGAAGACCCTTAAATCAAAGGAGGAATTTTTTTCAGAATCTATTCTATTCCTTCATATAGGGTATCTTTTTCGATATCATCATTTCCGTATTTCGGTGCAGGACCCTTCCGTATCCAGTGAAGCATATGCAAAACTAACGGGTCTCGTATGGCGAAATGTTGCAAGACTGTCTTGTCTTCCTTTGCTTTTGAATAGTAAAACAGGTCATGTTTAATGCACATGATCTCTCAAGATCGAAGTCCAACTTCCTTCTTCCCTCCATTCATTTCCGCGTCCCTCTCTCCCTCCCTTCTCGACCGTACCCAGAAAAAATGTAAATAATAAAGCGCAATTAACGAACCAGCCATCCATGAACTCCATTGATGTAAGAAATAATGAAAATGACAACCCAGATGTAAATCTGACTTCCGTGCTCGAGATCCTTGTTTGGGATGGTGTGTCGTCGGAAGATAGGTGCTCACACTGCCAGCCGCCTTTGTTATTTAATCGCCGATACGCTCGAGAGCCTGGAATAGAGACAATTAACTTGATGATTCTGAGCGAGGTTTGTGTGTGTGGAAGGGGATATACCTCAAGCATGACGACGGAGTTTCCTCGAATAACCTGTGAAGACATAGAAATCAGCATGCGAGCTCCAACGTTTCACCCTTCGCCGTAGTCCAAGATGCTACCACTCAAAAACGTACCACCATGCCTAATCTATCCTTTCCTCCATCGGCCTTCTCTTCGACGGCGTCATCGAGGACGAGGTTCATAAAGACCTGTAAACAATAGGTGTTAGTTCTGCTTTTGTGAGGTCGTTGGCCAGGAACCTGGTTTCGTTGGGAAGATCCGTACATCGTAACCTCGTAGAATACCGATCACTTTGCGATTGCCGTTTAATTGCACAAACAACCGCTTCTCCATGTACTGTAGTATTTCAGTATGAAGTTAGCATCAATGATTTCCCCTCCGTCGAAAAAAAATTCAAAACGTTTTGACAAATTGCTATCGCAAAAGACGAAAATCTGGCAACGGACCTTCTTGAGTTCTGGCTGAGCTTGAGGCATCTTGACTGTATGCTTTCAGCCTTTTTCGGATTTTGTGGTTGGTTTTGGTCGTGTAGAAGTTGGAGTTGCGCTCCGGAGATGTTGTTGCGGTCTCTTTGGTGCGATAGCAGAGCTTCGTCGGAAAAATGATTCGCCGGGCGTCTTTTATGGATGCGGAGCTTTACTACGAGTAAGATCATGTCCTTCGGAGGCGACAACCTGCTTTCACGTCAGTTGAACTCGCGAGGGCGGCTGTTTTCTTATTGATTCATATATTCAGGCCGTACAGTAAAAATGAGTTCGCCTTTCAATAATCGTCGCAAGCCGCGAAAAATCGGCACCGAGGACGAGGAGGATTCTATAACAGATCAAGGTATTAATAACCCCACCGCATTTACCTCGGAATTGGTTCTAATATGTCGAACAGATAATGGACCTGTCGTAAAAAGACCAGGAAATATGAAATCCAAGCAAAAATCGAAACTGCGTCTCTCGTTCGGTCCTGGTGAAACATCAATGACGGATGATGGCGGCGATGGCAGTGAAGTCGTGACTCCCAAAAGACCGGGTCTCGGTCGTCGCGTGCTCGAGAAAAACACGCTACAGAAAGCAGCAAGTGCGAGTGGATCGAACCAGCATCTACCCTTTCGAGTTGGACAGGATCAGGATAGACCGACATATGGGGATGATTACATCAAAGAATTACGAAGCTCGACGCCTTCTACGCCGAAGGCAACGGATAGTGACTCGGCTGGAAATAAGAGTGAGCGGAACGTAATTGATGTTGCAGCGAAATTTGGAGAAATAATGGAAACATCCGGTGCTATGGTCATACCCAGTGAAGCGGAAATCCGAGAAAAGAAAGCCCGCAGAGCGCGCTTGGCAAATGAGCAAGAATACATCTCTCTGGACGATCCAGAAGAGGTGGAAGAAGATGGCTATATGACCCTTGACTCTCGTAAAGAGCAGACTAGGCTAGTCCGGGATGATGAGGATTTTGCAGAAGGGTTTGACGAGTTTGTGGAAGATGGCAAAATATCTCTCGGACGAAAAGCAGAGCGAGAACAACAACGAAAGAATCGCGAGCAGATGCGTGAAATGATCAACGAAGCCGAAGGAACCTCAGAAGAGGAGGACTCGGATGCAGAACGTAATGCAGCATACGAGGCTGCGCAGACTCGTGCGGGCATGGACGGTCTGGGACACGACAAAGATGACCCGGCCAGGCCCAAAACACCGCCAAAAATCACCCTTTTGCCAAATATATCTAGCGTCATAGGCCGTCTTCGTACCACGTTGGCAGAAATGGAGAGCTCGAAGAAGGTCTTGGTCGATCGCATGGAGGAGCTTCGTAAGGAGAAAGCGGACATTGCCATCCGGGAAGTTGAAATCCAGACTCTTATCAAGGAGGCAGGTGAAACGTATGAGAAGCTTCGAGTGGAAGCCGGTCTTGTTCCTGGTGAAGATGGATTACCCGGAGATGTTTCTTCAACTGACCGGGGCTTAGAAAGCTTGGGAACTTCAGTGGTGGTATCCCGAGTTGAGTCTGAAGCCGAGTAATCTAACTCTAGAGAGATTCTCTCTGGCTTCATTAGGAAGGAACGAGTCGGGGAGCACTTTCCTGTAGGAACCTCGGATCAGCATTTTGCACATCTCCCGACTTTAACTCTCTCTTCTTACATACTTGCATCTGTCTGTTTTCTGCATATGATACCCCTGTTAGTGAACTATAGACTCGATCAATCCATTATCATGCCACGGTCATCATTTCTTTCCTTTAGGACCTACTCAACCCGCAGGCAATCACGGGCAGATACGCCTACGTAAGTACTACTCTTACTTCATCGCTAGCTGAAAACTGATTGCAAAAAAGCGATACTTCCCATATCATCCCATGGCTAGCTAGTCCTCTCGATCAGAATACTGTCAGATCCTCACGTTTACGCCAGCGCGCCGATGCCAGCCCTATCGAATTGTTCTACGATGTGTTCTTAGTCGCCAATCTGGCCACTTTCTCTGCCACACATGAAATCAACAATATCAAAGGTCAGTGCCGTGAACTCAACGCGGAACGGTCCAAGGGCGAATATAGTTCTGACTTTTATAGCGGTGTGGTCATATGTCGGGTTCGTGGGTATCATTTGGTTCACATGGCTCCAGGTTACCCTTTTCGATATGCGATTTTCTCGTGACTCAATCTTCGAGCGTACCTGCAAGGTCGTCCAATTGTCCGCTATGATTGGGTTTGCGTCGGCTGGATCACGGTTCTCGTCGCAAATCAAAGATGAGAATGTCTGGGCTTTCAAGTCTCTATCTATATTGCTTTTCGGAAGCCGCTTTATGCTTGCATTGCAGTATGCAATTAATCTCTGGTTCATTCATGAGGAACTGCGTAGCGCAGTGAGAGGCATGTTTGTCATAATTGGTGTGCATATCCTCACCGGAATTTCATACCTGATAGTAAGTCCGAAGCTTCATCGTGGTCAACACAACAGGCTAACGCAGACAGATGTTCTTGACGTTCAAGCCGAGCGAGCCTCATATCTGGATGGTCTGGTTCGGTCTCTTTGTGTTTGAGTCAGTGGTAGTAATTACCATCTCAAACTATACACCAGGCATCGGACTTGACGACTCTCACCTAACAACCCGTATGGGACTATTAACCTTGATCATCATCGGGGAACATGTGATTTCTGTAACCAGAATTGTAAACAAGATGGTCGCTGCCGGAGGTTGGACATTTGCATCACTATTGCATGTTATGGGCGTCGTAACGACCGTGGTATGTCTTCGCGATCACACGTCGAGGAGGCTCTTGAAGCTGACTGTGCTAGTATCTTCTTTGGCATTCATACTACGATATCTCTCCACGTCAATCTTATGGAAAGATCAAGCAAGAGATCTGGATTCACTTGCACTTTCCATTCCACATGTGCATAATCCTTTCTTCTGAGGCGTGTCAAATCCTGGCACTAGCATTAGATATCTCACTAAAGCTGCGATACTTGCTGGAAACTACCAATTTTGCATGCGAAGAACCACGGCCAGCTATAAGTGCTGCGCTCAATCTGCTCAACCGCACGATTACAGATATGGAAATCGACTATACTAGGGCGCCTCATGAGGAAGCAGCTATACACAACGTGCTTGGAACGTTATGGAACCAAACGAGTATCTGTCCGAGTGTCAATACTACTGGAGCCAAGGCGTATGGCATTAAAGAAGAGCAAGGTCGATTCCTTACTGGAAATGTGACAGTTGCCCTTTTCTCAAGTATGGGTATTACGCTTGAAGATCCAGATTCTACCAGCTCTGAGGGCATACAGTATTTGAAATTGTACCTAGGACTCTTGGCCTTTGTGTACGCTTACTACTTTATTACCGTTGGGTTGGCAATGTGGCACTTTGCCATCTTTGCAACATTGACGGGCCGGCATCCCAATCTCTGGTTCAATGCAATTGCCGTGGGCTTCCGACTTGTTTGCGTTGCCATACTCATATCTCAGATTGCCTTTGCGAAAAACTTCGACTTGACGTATAAATATATGACACATCCAATAATCCTATACACATTTTCACTGACAATGCTGTCTGGTGAGTCTGTCGTTCAAGAATAAGAATCTACAAGCTGACGATCAAAGTTCTACTCGTCGATCGCCTGCTAGACATAGTGGCAGCTTCAGGGGGGTTGAAGGGCGATGTCAGTCGACAGAGCAGCACGCGCAGTACTGTACCGATGCTATCGCACGATGAGGAAGCCAACAAACAGCCACACGAAATGGATGAACAAGCCTCGAATTGGAGCTACGAGAGAGAGAGACATCTTATGAACATCCGAGGATAGTATCTTTTGGCAAGTATGTCTTATCAAATTGTACTTGCTCATACTTCTTCTATAGTCTCACGTTGGGAGGCCTCCCTTATGATTATGATAGGTATCACCAACACACTCATTTGACAAATTCAGTCTAAGATTATCTATTACTTCTTCGTGTCTATCTTTAGCACTATCCTCGAAGAATATAAGTCCTACGTCAAGCCCCCGACCAGCAATCCGTCCCTTCCTGCAGCCAATGAACGGCATCACGGTATAACATTCCAAGAGCCATGACGACTTCAAAAACAGTATTTTGATCATCATCTCAAGAGCCAAAAAAGACAAAAAGAAAAGACGTTACATACAACAGCTGGGATTCGCTGGTGGTCACCCACCCAACTACTAACCAGCCGGCGTGTGGCTTAAGTACGGCTGAGCGGACGGGCCACACCCTATGGTCGTATGTACTGGAGTATACAAAGGAACGGTTTACATGGGAGAAGAAAAGGAGATGTCTTCGAGCAGTATTGAGTTTGCATCAACATTCTATAATTGGTGTGAGCTGTTTCGTTAATATAGCTCAGTCATTTCCCTCGGGCTGTTACAGCATGATACCTAGGCATATCAACTTGGCAATCATTCAAAGTTCGACACATACGAAGTAGGGCATGGCAATTGCTAGAGACCAGTTCCAGTCGTCTAACTTAGTGCTTACATTCACTAGTGAAATCTGTCAGGCTCTCATAGAGACAACCGCTGTCAGTCCATATACTAATAAATGCACGAACTAGTCAATACACAACTAAACGTCAGATTTACCATTACGTACGAGACATTCAGGAGTGGGCGCTGCTCCAAACTTCATGAAGCCCTACATCGGTACGGAGTACAGAGGACAATGACAAAACACGTACCAGCCCTGTTCAGCCCTCCTTAGCCGTCTTCAAAGATACACACTGCCACCAAAAGCATCCAGATACTAAGCGACTTTTAGCTCGCGAGGGTATGAGCCACTTCCAGAACCTGATTCGTCAGTGATTAAATGAGACCAAATCCTTCCGAGTCCCCGAGCAGTCCCCGAGAGGAAGGTTGAGAAAGTAAAATAAACGATCACTTACTCTTGTTAGATGATCCCTGTCGTTTAAGTCATAGCTACTAAACACTAGGTACCCTACGTGGTCTAGAAAAATCCAACGTTTTACCAGATACCGTAAGAAGGTAGCTCAGCCCTATGGGTTTCAGAAATGTGCCGTACTAGCTGCTTTTGGGTGCTGAATGACAACCCCTATGTTAAATACTAGTCATTGAGTTGGTGTGTTGTGATGATTTTGCATGTGCTGTTCTTCGATTGTCCGGCCAATCAGTCTGCAGAAGAGGCAGATTGATGAGTGTTTTCGTCTTCTTCATGCATGATTTAATTGATTAGTTTGTATGCCATGTCAGACATGGTTCGTTCAGAAAACTTCATTCGTTCATGATAATTGACCATCAGATTAAAAAAAAAAAGTTCTAATTTCAGTCTGCAAACTATGTAAAGTGACCATACCATGAATCCAGAAATCCCTTACTGACGATTACTGGTCAAATTCGGAAGGACGTGTAAAAAATACCGCCTTGTTCTCTCTCTTATTGCCAGGATCCAGGCATATAGTTGCATACCTAATCAAGAATGGGAAGCCGTGCAATTTGAATGGGCAGGCAAGAAAATCCTCAAAATCCCGAACAGGAAAAACAAATTATAAAAGGGTTCAGAATCATGATCCCCAGGACGGGACAACGGCCAAAAACGGGTCGGCAAAGGATCAATGGTGAGTGGGCATGGCGGAACTGCACCGTTTAGGGCTTGTAACTTTTGTAAAGACAGGTATGCATACCGCTATGTTTATTAGGCGGCTTAGTGGAATTGTATGAGAGCATGGAGCCAGCAAGCGGTAAGTTGTTCGGAGTGAAGTCCGCACGTAACAATTTGAATTGCTACGTATTTCACTGGACAATATGAATGTAACCTGCAGTCTACTATACTTTTGACCATTCGATTTTAGAATTGTTTCCGAGGCGCAGCACTTCGTTTCTGTATCTCCCTCTAAGTCCGGGATGAAGGTTTGTCGAGACAAACTAGATACTTCATTACATGGACAAGAAATTACGTATCCAGAAGGAGAATGATGAGAGTGTCCGGTAATTTGTATCATATTCTAGTCTAATCTAACCAGTTCGTGCATATCTGCTTAAACATTACTCATCTTGTCCCAGGGCCGAGGCGCGGGAAGACATGTCTCCACATGTAGGGCTGAGTTGAATATGCTTTTTCCCACCTCGTGATCGTCTTCCAACGGGTTTACCGTGTGGAAAGGGCTTTACATTTTCTGAGATTGGTCAATAAACTGAGCACGGTGCAGCCGATGGCGGTTTTGTTTGTTGTAATAAAAAGGTAAAGTTGTAGTTGGCCAATGGGCTTGTGTGAGTACTTGGCTGCGAGTAAGATTCTGTACTCTTCCGGCATAAGATGAGTAATTTTGTGATGCCATGACTGAGGCGGTGCATTACATGTACATCCTTTGAGTAGCTTAGTCAAGCCATTTGATTCTCCAAAAGTTAGGCCTCGGAGATGTCCGTATGTGATACCTGCATAGTTGATTGATGATCAAAGCCTGCATCAGGCTCGGCATGTAACAACGTATCAATACTGCAGATTAGTTGAACGTAAAGTTCATGATAATTTTTCTGCTGTATACCTAGTCAGCTCGTCAGGAGTCAAATTGCACATCAAACGTGACTTGTCTGCTGGGATAGTCTATCTGCATAGACGATCTTTGGCCTAATCTCCTAAGACGGACTACTCCAATGCGTATCTATGTATGTTTCGTCTTGTAAATGTTAGAGCACCATGTATCAAGACAATCTCAGCTCATGATGGTCATTCTAGTGAAGCCATGAGCATAAGCCTGACCCAAGCTCCTTCATAAGCTTCGACAGGCTAGAAGTTATGACACGTACCCAGACCAATCTGTACAATGAAGGTAGGCATACCAAAAGCCCACACGCCCTCAAGACTAGACGCGAAGACTAATTTAAGTTGTTTTTAGCTCGTTGTGCTAGCAACGTCGTCGGGACCAACTACGCCGTATCCTTCATTTACTCAATCCGTCACGGTCCTTCAGACCTAGAGTCTGGGATCCACTCCGCCCCCTATTCTTATCCCTGTCGCTAGATACATGTTTGATTGGGACACGAAATGCCTCTTTCAAAGAAAAGGGCCCAACAGGCTGTTCCTGTGGTAAGCCAATGGTTGTGTGAAGGAAGGTCGAAGACGAAATGCACCTCGTGTTGAGCGGGTCCTTGTCTGCCGTCCTATCTCTGCATATTCCAAGAATGCGCACATTTTAGATTGCTTCAGGTTGATTGAATGTTGAGCCCTGCGTCGTAACTACTGTATCTTTGATACTAGAACGTGGTGGCTTCGTTGTGGCTTGTATGCCCCTTTTCCAAAAAACGACGAATGGTAAAGTAGCGTCTCGTCAAATTAACAACACGAGGATGTATATGTAAATTTACGAGCACTATACAGGTATTTATATGTATGGCCACAAAGTTGATGACAGGAGATCGAGTGGCCACGTCTTGTCTACCATCGTACATGTTCCCCGATGGTGTGGGAATCATGAGGACGGAGAGAGCTGACGCTTCTGAGTCTCATGTCTGACTCGACTCGCTGTAAGGATTATTATCTGACATTGACTTGCCCTATTGAATTGCTTGAAGCTTCTAGACAGGTGAACTACTTGCTCGAATACAATTGCGAAAGCTGACGATGCTACATCATGTCTTGACAACACTCTACCGTACTAATGGTGCAGATGCTACTGTATTGGGGACATTATATAACTTAATAAGCCGGTGCTACGCACGTAACATCTTGCTCGTCATGATAACACATAATGGAAATCATGAGACTCAAAAATTTGGGCCAGGATTACATCTATCGACATCTCTGCAGACAAGTGTTCCTCGTTCATTAAAATCCACACTACATATACCTTACCAAAATCATATCATCTTTGCACTATTTCAGCCGTTGAAAATAAACGTTGAATGTGGTGAGAAGGAGTGATCCTGTCGCTTCTAACATTCACCTGTCCTCCAACAAAAGAAGTATAAATCTCCTAATTAGGAAAGAATTTGTCCATGTGCGCAACCTGCTACCGTCGAACATTAAAACACTTTCATATATTTCAAAGTTAATCAGAGGCTACATTGCCAATACAAGTGAGCATCTAAGTAATTGTTACACAAATTGCGTAGTTTAACTTATTGGTATTGGGTTTGGCTATGCCCCTGCAACTTCAAGACTGAAACATATATATGCTCACGTCCGGAGCAGAGATGATATTTTACCAAAAAGAGATTACTTCAAAGCGACGTAATACCATACAATAATCAAGCAAAAAAAAGGCATAGATCACATAGATAAAGTGAGCCTCAAGAGTCTATTATAGTTTCTCTGCACATGTACCTTTTGACACACCAGGGGTCCGAGTGAGCGAGGTTGCATTGCATGATGCATACATACCCCGAAAACATAAAAAGTCAAAAAATGATGACAAAATGAGGTAGAAACGAAGCGAAGTGGCACCTGGATATGCAAGAGCTTACATATCCCTCCGAAACATAGCATGTAGGATGTCGATATCTGCCCATTTTCTCCTGCTCTCAGGATGTGTTACACAGCTGTGTAACGACAACTACGTCTCCAAACTCGAATAATCATGCATACATGTATACACGGACGTATATTCATTTACGGCCCATCCCAAGGACCGAATTTGAATCGAGACTGGGTGAAGCTCGAATGCATCGGGCTTGCCCCTAAATGTCATGTTGTCTGTACACAGTCTTCTCTCCTAGAATCAGGATACTCGATTTCCAATCCAACCGACCTTCCTACAAATCGAATACATCACATGTGTATTATACTTCAAATGGTTGCATCATACATATTGTAAAGAGTGAACTTTCTCTCATTCGGC